TAATAATTTTATAAAAGTAAAGTAACTAAAGTTCTAAAAAGTTAAATTCTTAGCTAAAAAATATAAATTTCTTATTTTTAATTATAATTTCAAGTTTAATAAAAGTATTATTTATACGGATATTACTAGAATTATCCTTATATAAAAATATTAATATAAAAACCTTTAAACTATTTCTATAAAAAATACTACTATTATAAGTAATAGAGATACTATTTATTAAGATCTTTCTATTAAAGACTAATATATTACCTAATATACTAGAGAAATATATATTATATTAGTCTATTAACTAGAAGCTTTATATAACCTATTAATTACTATTTAAATTATTAAATTTTCGGAAACTAATATAAAAGTATTTAATAAATATATTTAATAGCAAATTAAAAATATTACTAGATAACTAAGATTTATAAAGCTAGTAAAAGAATTCTTATATTTAATTATTTTTATAAATGCTTTATTTATAAATAATAGAAATTTCTTTTCCTAAATTAAATATATTCTAGTTCTAATAAATAGAACTAGATATACTAATATTATTTATTAGTTCTTTATTAAATATAAGAGAATTACTAGAAGTATTCTAGTTTCGGAATTCTATAATATAGCTTATAGTTTTAATATAGATATTTTAGTTAAATCTATAATTAATAAAATACTAGAAATAGAACTACTATTAGTAGTTTATATAAATTCGAAATTGTTATATAAATGTCTTATTATATTAGGAACTACTCGAGAAAAGTATCTAATAATTAATATAATATACCTCTATTAGATATATAAATAATAAGAGATTATAGAAGTTAAATAGATTAAGAAAGAATTAAATCCTACTAATTTTATAATAAAATTAAAGCTAATAAATATCCTTAAATACCTAATTAATACAAATATTATATAATTAAATATAGAGAAATAGATTAAATATAAATAGGGCAGAAAATAGATATATAGGATAAGAGAATATTATAGGAGAAGAAATTATATATAAAAGGCTATAGCCTTTAGTATATAACTAAAACCTTAGAAATAATATAAATATATAAAATATTTAAGAAATCTAGTACTAGACTAGATTAGGGAATTTATATATAATTAGAGAAAGATATTGTTTTTTGTGTTTTTAGAGAGTTTCTAGTATTAGTATAGCTATTTCTTTGGAAGTTATATATATAGTTACGAGATATGAAATACGGAATATAGGTAATAAGATATAAGTAATAAGATATAAGATATAGGATATAGTTATATAACCTTATATCCTATTAGTAATTCGACTAGTAAACTAGACCCCTTTAGGCTTAGTAGATTTAGGGATTATATATTAATACTATAATATTATAATTCTTATTTCTAAATAATAATAACTTTACTAACTAATATAACTAGTATTTCTATACCTATATAATAGTATTATATATTACTAGTAAACTAATAATTAGATATAAGCTTATAAGATATTATATAAATATAATTCTCTAACTAATATATTAAATAATAAATAATTATATTAATATTATATATTTCTTATTATTATTATAAGCTTAAATAATTAGTTTTAATTTCTTAAGTTTTTTTTAATATTCTTAATTTTAATCTTATTAATAAATTAGAAATTAAAAATATATATTTTCTATAATATCTAAAATCTAAAAGTAATCTTAAAACTATTTTTTTCTAGAAAGCTAGTAATTTTAATTTAATAGAAATTCTTATATAAATTATTATAATATTAGAGTTCTTATAAGGGAATTTTCTATTATATTTTAATAAAATAGTAGAAATAATAAAAGAAATTATATCTATATTATTTGTAGCCTTATTATAAAGTTTGAATTCAGATTTAGGGCTATTAGTATTAATCTTAATATCTCTTATATAAAAGAGCTTTATAGAAATTAAATAGAAAATAATATTACTAGTATATAGTTCTTTTTATTAATAACTACTAGCTTATATGGCTTATTTTAATTACTAGATTAACTAGTATTTTCTTTATATTATATAAGAATATCCGAATTCAGAAAAAGTTTATAAATATTAGTAATATTAGAATTATTTCAGATATTTAAGATATTTGTAATTTAATATCTAGTTTAAAGCTTCTGAATTTCTATTATTACTATTTTAAATACTATTAATTATTATAATATAATTAGTAATAAAATATTATATTTAGTTATTTAAAATAATACTATTAGATTTTATAGAATTATTAATAGCCTTAAAAGCTATTTAAAAATAGTATTTTTATTAATTCTATTAATTTTAGCTATAATAATAAGGTAAATATATTAAATTAAGCTATAATAATATTTTATAATTCTAATAAAATTATAAGCTTTTATAAGAATAATTTTAATCTTAGTTCCTATAATATTTATAAGTTAAGCAAATTTCTTATTAATAAACTACTTTCTAGTATCTGCTATAATCTAATTAAAAGAGTCTAAATAATTATTAATTTAGTATTACTTAAATATATTTCAGATATATATTATACTAATATTTTAGAGCTATTATCTAGTTTAATATCTAGTATTTTTATTAATAATATAAAGTATAAACTTATTAGAAATAGAGGATCCAGTTAACGAATAGCTGCTAGATGTACTCGACAGGCTGCCGGAATCCGTGGAACTTGATGATATTGCGGTCGAGCTGGATGTTGTAACGCTGCCGGAATTTGTAGAACCTGACGATGTTGTAGATAAGCTGGACGTTGTGAGGCTGCCTGAATCCGCAGTATCTGATGTTGTTGTGGACAGGAGGCTGCTAGAGCTGGACACAATTGGCAAGGTCAACGATGTCGTAGATGATGCTGTGCTAGACAAAGTGAAAAGTGGTTCACCACTCCAGTTGCAATAAGGCACAGCAGCTTCCAATGCTCCCAGCATGTTCCCAAATTGGCGCAGAACTGCTGAATATTTGTGAATGTATCTGAGATTGTAGTATCGTTTATCCCGGGAGCGTCAATATATTGTGCCTGATTGCAAGCATCATTGACCACTGTTGGAAGGCTGTAAGGTTAGTTCGCAGGGAAGAGGTTGACGAACTCCGCACATGGATTGTAGGTGTTATCCCGTTGATACAACACGTCGACGGATGGTAGTATGAATCCATCCAAAGTCCCTGAGGAGATAGCGCGCTTCGATGACGGCGGACAGTACTTCTCTAGTGTGTAGCCTCCGACCCCCGTTATAACGGGAAGTAGAAGCGCTTCCTGCCCCTAGGCGTGGTTGTGTCGGGGCCAGTTAGCAAGACCCTGCAATTCACTTAATCAATTATTACCACGACAGGATGCTCTTTAATCAAAAAGGTTTCTATTGCGCGATCACTCACCCAATCAGGGGCTATAATTATATGAGAAGAAAAAATCCTAATCGGATGCATGGTTGTTTTTTGAATTTGATAAAAACGACTAAAATTTAATGTTGGAGGTGTTGCAACCAGCGAGCTTAACGAGCTGTACGGTAGGATTTTAGGCGGTAAGTGGTCAAAACACTCGAGTACTCGAGTACTCGAGCACCAGAACACCAAAATCATGGAATCCAAAGCTACGAATCGCATGGTACTTAAAATTAGGCTTGGAATTGCACTAAAATTATACTGAGACTTGCACTTACTATTAATAGAAGCTCTTTACGTATCGCAGTGAGCTGTGCCCCAGGGAGCCCCCCTCCCAGAAGCTGCCTCCCGTCCCCCTGCCCTCCCCCCTCCCAAGAGCTGCCTTCCAGGAAGCTCTTTATATATATTATTATAATAAGCTGCCCCTAAGAAGCCCTTTATATATTATAGTGAGCTATCCCAAGGAAGCTGCCCCCAGAGAGCTATCCCAAGGGAACTGCCCCCCAAGAAGCTATCCCCAGAAAGCTGCCCCCCTAAGAAGCTCTTTATATATTATAGTAAGCTATCCCCTAATAAACTTTTTATATATCACATATAAAGAGCTTCCTGGAAATAGCTTCCTGGAGAAGGGAAGGGGGGGGGAGCAGCTTCTGGGAGATAGCTCCCTTGGCAAAAGCTAGGATGCCTCAGGCAATAACAGATTTAATTAAGCCTCAAGACTTGAGGTATACCTTACTAATTTTATATTATCTTTTACCTATATCTTTTCTCTAGAAGGCAGTAGCTCACTATAATATATAAAGAACTCTCTAGGGAAGAGTATACTATAATATATAAAGAGCTCCCTAAAAGGCAGCTCTTGGGATTGAGGAGGGGGCAGCTCCTAGAGAGAGAGCTCCCTGGGAGGCAGCTTACTAGGAACAGCTCCCTTGGGATAGCTCATTGCAATATATAAAGGGCTTCTTAGGGGGCAGCTCCCTAGGGACAGCTCACTGCAATATATAAAGAGCTCTCTGGAGGGCAGCTCTTGGGAAGAGGGGAGAGGGGGCCGGCCTCTAGGGGGGAGGCTCCCTGGGGCACAGCTCACTGCGATACGTAAAGAGCTTCTATTAATAGTAAGTGCAAGTCTCAGTATAATTTTAGTGCAATTCCAAGCCTAATTTTAAGTACCATGCGATTCGTAGCTTTGGATTCCATGATTTTGGTGTTCTGGTGCTCGAGTACTCGAGTACTCGAGTGTTTTGACCACTTACCGCCTAAAATCCTGCCCTAGAGCTGGCCCGAACTGGGTGCTGAAATGCCTGCGGCTACCCCGCACTTGCCCTGAAAGCCCAGCACTATCGTGACCGATTATTAGACTACTCAACATGACTCCAACCCCACTTAATTTAGTTTGAATAACATTTGAAAAGAACCAAGTGCCCCTTAGTCTAGTATACAGCTAATAGTACAGCGCCATCGTACTTTCCCTATCGTGACAGCTAGGCCGGGGTTTAACACTTAGGAGCAGCCTCCCTCGCAGCGGCTCGTATATAAAAATGCGCGTGACTCCCGAAGGATAGTCTTGGATGAGGTCCTAATGTTAGCGCAATATATCCCGCAAGAATATTTTACGAGCTTACCAATTAAGCCATGGACAGATTTCAGCACCAGTCCAATGGCGCTGGGGCGGGGCTCCTCATATTGCCTAGTTGAACTAAAAGCTCCTGGACGTGTTTCACGACCCAGCCAAATACTAATAGCAGCGCATACGCAGTAATTATCGACAAAGCGATAAACATGAGGCTGCCTACTAGAAGAAGTCTTCCTCCCATCTTAGTTCCAACAACGTCTGCGAAAACGAAAAAGAGGATTAGAGCCAAAAGCCCACACCTATTTTCACAGTCAGCACATAAAGCGTCTTATAACACGAGTTAGAACAATGAACTCACCATGCCTTGTGCCATTTGTTGAAGCTGGGGAAATCGTTGCAGAATCTGGAGTAGGTGGCGTACATGGCCCACATCCAAATTGCCAATAAGCTGTGTAAATTATTAGAAAAGTCCCTCCTGCTCGGCATGGATGCCTTACCAAAGCCAAATAATAATGGCGAAGATCGCCATATCTCGAGACAGATATTGTTCGAGGTACACCGCTAACCATCCTTCCAGTGCGCTCGAAACTGAGCAGACGGTGATAATAGACCTTGACCGAGCCCCGCACTCTCGTTCATAATGCTCTAGTCCCTCCCGAAGCGCGTGTGTGGAGGGCATGGTGGACAGGGGGATATCTCAGGATGTGTCGGCTCCGAGAATGCAAGGGGTGTCGAGCGTGGAGTAGCTATTGGGGAGTGCCCAGAGATGGGAGCTGGGATTTGCTGGCACATTACATAAGTTAACGGAGTAGAACAATCAGACCAAATGGAGAACTGATGCGAAATATGAATATGAAGGCCTGAGACTTCAGGGGCTGCTCGAAAATATACGCCGCTGACGCAAGCACCATTAGGAGCAATCTGAAACAAATAAATATATTCTGCCAATGGTCCACTGTTGGAGCCTTGGAATGAATGGTTGGTGGGGTTCACAGAATTCTGCCGCCATTTCCCGCCTTTGTGCAGTCGAGGAACGAAGAAATCGGAGGGTTGTTATTGGTGTGATCGGTAACGAGGGAGTGAGAGCTCGTGGTCTAGCTGCAGTACAAATGGAGGCTTAAAATACCTTTTGTGAGTTGTGGATCAGATTGTATTTCGGTGGAGGAAATGTCGAGTGCAGTGTCGCGGGTAAGTGGCACTGAGGTAGCGGGGCTGTTTGGAGGATGGCTGCATGCACGATCAGTGGTCAGTTGAGAATTGACAGTTAACGAACTTGATCCTCAAGTCAAAGACGACTTACTCAAGCAGTTGACGGAAGACCTCGAAGGTTTTTGTATCCAAAAGTAGTGATATGCTGGAAGTAAGAGAGTATTAGAAGGGGGGATGAGGTCCTTTTTATGCAAGTGAAAACGTCGCCCAGGGTGTGCTTAGCCCCCCGAACTATACCCCATCAAGCATTTTCATACCGTCCGCCACCGGTAATTGGTCAGGAACACAGGACTGGCGTGGTTAGTTCACTCTTTCCCCAGCTTATTGCATACTGTTTTGCAGCCTACTTTTTAACTTATAGACCTACCGAGCAAAGTTGGTAATACAAAGAACAAACAATCGGTGCATTGACAGGAGCGGTTCTCCTATTACGTTCCAACCCTCTGAGCAGTACCATGTCCTATAAAGCAAAGCCCATTTGAAGCTGCACCTGTCCCCAATAACCTTCAACAATTCTCGCTGCGGTTCCTTGGTATGTCATGAGAGACATCCTCCGCGTCTTCTCTCATTGCCTGACTCGCTGCGTTTTCTCCAGCTCTGAACATAGGCCTCTCGGCCCATACACTGCACGCTCTCTACGAGCAACTCTTGAGGGTTTTCCCTCTCGCATATTCTGCTGGCCATCCCAACCAGCGGGGAGGGCTCACAGTCACCAGCCTTTCGGCACGTTCGCTCATACTTGAAATGCTTTCCGCGGTCCGCACATCTATGTTTCCATAGCTTCGCACGACCCCATACCCTTCGGGAGCTCACAGGATAGCCAGTTTCACCGGTACTCCGCTGGACGTAAATAACTATCAATCAATCTCATTGCCTAACAGTTCATTATTAACGATGATATAAAATGCCGACCGACGCAGTCACTGCGAGAACGCAGAGCCGTTGGTGTTCGATATCAAGTGCGACTTCTGATGACTTGCGCTCTGCTCTGCCTGCTACCAGGAAAGATTACTCGTTTTTCATTTCCGCTGCCCACCTGCCCATCCCGTGTGAAATGCTTCGTCACTTCGGTGTGCTCTTCTTGCCCATACGTACGCACCTTCAGCGTGATTCCTGCAACAATCAATCGCATTCATGACACCTAAAACCGTTAGTTCTTCATTCAACCAGAACCAGCGGAATCGGGCATTCTCGACATTGCCATTGCTCAGCGTCGTGCGATATTTCCGACGACGCAGAACTCCTTCCTTACTCTTCATCAACATCCACAAGTCGAACATAACTCTGAAGCCCAATGCCGTATATCTCTTCAGGAAGGATCAACATCGGTGCTTTCATTGCAGAGGACTTCTACGTCGAATCTGGACCATTCACACACAGTCTTCGAGATTGATAGCAGCTGAACCGAATACCGACCTGTCGCTCGCTCGTGTGGGGCGGAAACAGGATGGCAAATCGTGACTCCCTACTTAGAACTGCCAAAGTTCCGATTCTGATGCTCAAGATATCTATCGTTGATGGAATGGACCTCACTCTCTCCACTTGTCGATGAATTAATGAATGAAGCCATCCGAATTCATCTTGAACATTGCTCTCTGAAGCTGCGACGTGCAACAAAGATGGTGTGAAAGGGGTGAGATCACGTGACGACTGCACCATCCAAGACCAGCTCGTCCTTTCAACCCTTCCTTGCACATCTACGTATTGCAATAGGCCGTCTAGTCCCAAGTTAATTCAGCTGTCAACGACACGCCAGTTTCCCATCAAAGCATGACCAGTATGGCAGCCTAGACTCCGCCACTGATGGACAAATCGTGCGACAAGACACCGGACGCCACTTGCAAAGCACTCCGCGAACAGTCAGGACAACCAAGCTTTCTTTCACAGCCTCCGCGGTCTCGATTCCCATAATCCTGTTTTAACATTCTACTGTCCCTAAGGACAGAGTACTTCTTTGGATTTCTCTTACTTCTTAGCCAACTGATCGGCTACCAGCTCGGTTTTCAGCCTTCTTAATCAGAGGGCGCTCGGAAAAGGAGTAGTTTGCCTGGGAGGTAAGCATGAGGGCCTGACACGGGCACGTGTCTTATTAAGGAAGGACCCCGCCCTTCACCCCCCGATGAAAATGTCCTGTCCCTTCCTGAGTTGTCAACCGTCTTCCCCCCAAATTGCATCTTTGCCCATGTTCAGAATGTCTGGCATTCTACATAACCAACGCGCCAGGAAGATGAAACAAAAAAAAGGGACCGAGCTGCATTGTTAGATGCGCAATAATTACGGGTAGATTCTGCAAAAGAAGTAGAAGAAATTTCTATTTTATATTTTGCGATTTCTCAGGAAATGAATTCCGAATTATTAAGATGGCTCACGAAGCGCGGAGCCTTGCAAGGAGCCAAAACCAAGGGAGCCACACATGAATAAACGCGTGTGAACATGTGCAATTTTCGTCAGTCTGCACATGCATGACCCTGGTGTGGATGTGATTCGTGGAGCCTATGGTCATAGCGAAAACGTGCTTCCATATGTGCTGCTCGGAGGAAGCACGCGGCTTCCTTTAGAACAATGCAAAAGATGAAGATGTCCCTTCGGCCTTCGAGGGCACTGCCGTGACGGACATTGCAAGTGGCTCGGGGGGGGCGGTGTTACTTCCCCTACAGCCCAGGATACGCGAGCTGGGAAGGCTTCAGGGGCTAGTTTTCCTTCGGACAGACTTGGTGTTACACAGCAGGCGCAAAATCCCAGGGGCGTTATTCATCGAAGGGTCAAGAGATCCCACTCACTATCTAGTGGTAATACTTCCCTTCTCTTTCACAACCTTCATTGGTCGTGAGCATCAAAACAAAGGGAAAGGCCAGGAAGTCACCCGAACGGTCCCAAGTCAAGACTGAGAAACCCGATCCCTTTCGCACGCACCCCCTCAATCGCGGCATCAGAATTAGCTCCTTCCGGCACCACCATTGCAACATGAGCAACAGTGATCATTATTCCTCTTTCCTGGGGCCAAATGGCAGATACCCTTAGGGCACGAGATGCGACTGTTGCGGTTCCCACGTTAACTACTACCACGACGGTGTTTGAAAGCAGCCCAGTTCAGAGTTCAACCCCAAGCTTCAGTTATTTCGAGAACCACTAGAATGTGTCCGGGAAGCTTTTGCCCACACCAGCCAGTTTATATTGGCAAATTCCGGAAATCTCAGCTTCGAATGGTATTGCCTTCAGTCTGGCTCTATTTGTCTGCCAAACGAATGCTTTAGGAGAGGATTTGAACTCAACAAATACATGGTCAGTTGCCCAAGTTCCGATTAAGTATAACTCCTTGTCATTTTGTCTCTCGACACTGATATAACAAGACAATTGCGGAGCATGCGTGGTCGAAAGTGGTGTAATCCAGAACAGTACGATAACATTGATACTTCCTGACGCGTTCGGTCCTCCCACGAGAGCAAAGTTCTTCATATGCATTAGCAATGCGCCTGAATTCATTGACCGACTTGTTTGCGATTCTTACAGTCCGTTCTTCGGCATCACCGGAGTCACCACAGCAGTGTCAAGAAACCGCCGAGGCCTGATAAAACGAAAGGAAAGCACTCCAACGTTAACGGCGGTTTCTTCTATGCCCACAACCCCCTTATCAATTATAAAATACACTGGTGTTGTTTCAATCCTCAATGGACCCCCAGGAACGATTTCTCCTGGGGTCACTACGACATTCAGGCCCAGCGGCACGACAACTATAACGGCGGTCCCGGCTTCGGCACCTTCAGGCTCAACAACTCGGGTGGCACACCCTGGCGAGCTATTTTCTGGTGCCAAGGCAGGAGTCTCAGTTGCTGTAATCCTGGTCGTCCTCGTATTGCTTGTTATTATCTTGTTCCTTCGGTGTCGAAAGTAGAGGAACGCACGCACGTTCAAAGCTACCCAGAAAGCCGTGCCACCGAACACCCACGAACTCCTCACGAATGCGAACTCCCACGAGTTATTCACGAAACACAACATACCCAAGATGGACGAGCAATCTACGGATGTGCTGAAATCAAAAGAGAAATTGGCACCAGTCGTTGCAAGCATTGGCATGGAAAATGGAGGTGTAGTGTCGCAAGACGACTTGGCAGGTGTGCATGAGCTTGACCCGAAAAGTCACATCACATCTTTGGATACTGAAAACTACCTTCCCCTCTCCTCACGAGCTGGAAATTTCGAATTCACCTACCAGCCTTGCAAGTTCACCGTACGAATTCGTATGTGCCCGCATTGCAAGAGCAAGCAACTTCAAGCAAAGTTGCACCGGGGCCCAGCAATGAAGAGCGAGAACGTAAGGTGGAGCTTCTGACAAATAGGATAAGTAGGATTCGAGAGGAGAAGGAGAGATTAGAGAAGATTCAAGAGCTGAAAGATCTGGAAGAGCAGACCAAGAGAGAAATTTTGGCGGCGTGGAGAGAAGAGGAGAAAGGAGTCAGTCAGACTCGGTCTTGCCAAATGATGTACAATCTCGAGTGTCCTCGAAAGGCTAGTTTGCAGCTTTCTGCCAGTTACCAGATCGACAAGAGGAGAACCCGAACCTTGACTGCCGAGTGGCAATCACCGACTCCAGTCAGATGGACAATTTTCTGAACAATAGCATGACGTGACACTAAGGTACAACCGTAAATTCATAATTTCACATCACCAGATATGACACTTATGATTTGGGACAGTGACCGTGAGCTAGACCAAGCATCACTGTACAGACCGTTAGACGCCGATTTTCGACCCCACTCAATCGGCAACTTCCATGCCCAATACTATAATCTATCTGCAACTCAATAACAGAATTGCCCTCGGAACAGGGAATTATCCTAGTTGGCTCGATTTGGTGATGTCCGAGTGCGGGATCAGGGAGTTAGCGGATCTTCAACTCTCAAGAGTCACTCCTTCGGTGCCAGACCCAGGACCTTCAGTAGACTACCAGAGACTTGCAAGCAAATTACGCAGCGGTATATATGCCAAATCGAACCAGTGCTGCTTTGTTGGCTTGATCTGAGATCGTGGCCGGGACTGAAAAGGGAGTCGCCATTCAGCACGTGACACTGAAAAGGGGTATCACGTGCGTGTCGCTTGTACCTGTATTACCCCCTCCCCCTCGCCATGGCCATCTTAGTCGGATCGCTTGACAGACTAGACTAACCATATGGAGTCGCTACCGAAGGGTGATGATTGAAAGTCTAGCGAAACTTGAAGGGCTATATTTGTTGGATTGAATGCGAGAGGAGATGTTCTCGTGCATCAAATGCATCAAGTGTGTAAGGAAAGCCTATGACTTCCGAGTATCTATTTCATTAGGAATGCTATGAACTACAAACGGAGTCTTAACTCACCTCTCACATCTGCCGACAGTTTAAAAGCAATCCCAATAACTCTCACAGTTAGCTAGGGAGCTTGACTCGGACCCTCTTCCATCAACTTCCTAATGGCGTCAATGGAGTTTAGTACTGCCCGCGGAACACCGTGACTACAACCGAATTCGTTTTCAAGCCCAATCAATGCTTTTTGAAACAACTCCTGGGCCTGCCTTAGCTTGCCCTGATCCTGATAGACCAGACCCAAGTTGTAAAACGCCATCAATGTTTGGAAATGATCTGAGCCATTAATCTCCTCGTACGCATCCACCGAGCGTTGCAACATTTTCTCAGCATCGGATAGGTTGCCTTGAAGCCTGTAAAGGCGGCCCAAACTGTGGACTACGGTAACTATTGTCGTATTGTCGATGCCGTTTGTTGTCTCGTATCCTTTCAACACACTCTCGAGCACTTCTTGGGCCTCAGTTAATCTATTCCTATCCGCATAGAAGATGCCAAGATCGTGGAGTGAATCAAGTGTGGAGGGATGCTCGAGGCCCACAACCTTCTTCTTCCCTTCTATTGCCCGCTTGTACATTTCCTCGGCTTCTTCTGGCATGGAATCCATCACGCAACGGGTGCCTACTTTGAAGATAGCATCGAATGTTGAGATGTCCTCCATACTAACGCTTTTATGTTCGAGGAGCTGACGTCTAAGCCTTAGGCCAAGTCCGTCCCGAGCCCCAACCCACCTATCAACGAATTAGCAGCGTTCCCTTTAAGGGAAGAGAGAGGGCCGGGAGTATGAAACATCGTCCCGACCAGTAAGTTAAGGAGCTCAGGGAATGGGACAAAGAAATAGGCTGGCTACTCAATTGGTGTCCGTCCGCCATTATCTTTGGACTGAACTTCAATGTCTCCGCGCTCAAGAAGTAGTGTCACTAATTCCTCATCGCCATTTTCTGCAGCCAATGACAGTGGGCTACGGCCGTTGTCGTCGCGAGCATCAGCATCGATATCTTTGTGAGATAGTAGCAGATTGGCGCTCCCTTGATGCTTTTTTGATATCGCTATCGACAGCGGTGTCCTGCTCTTATTGTCCCTGGCGTTAATACCGACGCCTTGATGCTCCAGAAGGAGTCTCAATACAGGCTCTTGCCCGTTATTAGCTGCATGATGTAATGCTGTATATCCGGCAAGGCTGTCGCTAGCCTCCAGATCTGCCCCTCTCTCGATCAGTAATCGTGCAACTGTTTCTTGACCTTGACTAGCCGCCAGATGTAGCGGTGTCAACCCCTTTCCCCCTTTGTAGTTAATGTCAGCCCCTGCCTCGATTAAAATCTCCACTACTTCCTTTTGCCCAGAGCGAGCAGCATGATGCAATGCTGTGAATCCATTCGTGTCCCTGGCCTCAATGTCGGCCCCAACATCGAGAGATAACCGAACCTCCGCTTCGTTCCCATTGCTGGCTGCTTCATGAAGTGCTGTCCAATTGGAATCTTTGACAGTGGCACAATGCGAATCTATACCGCGTTCCGCAGCCTCGGTGAGAAGGTTCAGAGTCATCAGGCTGCGCAGATCCGGTCTCCTTCTTGTAGCCAATTCGATTGCGGCAAAAACTGCACTTTTTGCCGGATTGATATCAGCCTCCCTCTCTATAATATCCCAAATCCAGATCTGCAGGCTTTGGAGATTTTGCAGCTCCATAATAGGGAAGATGAGAGAGTTGACCCCTTTCATTGACTCAGCAGTATCCATCATTTTCCACGTAATGTATAGCCGGACATCCAGCTCTTTCTTCTGCTGATTACTGTTCAACATCCATTGAAGAACACGCAAATGCACCTCTTGCGTCCTAGTATTGAGACCGTGGTTTTGTGCTGCTCTCAATAATGGAGGAAAGTCTGATCTTGTTGGACAAAGTGGGTCTAGGTGGATCGGAAACAGAATCTTCGTGAGTCGAGTAAGGTCGATCAAGCGCCTAGGACATTGCCAGTGGCGGGGCACCAAATAATCGGGACCCATAGTGGTCTCAACAGTAATATCTCCATAAAGTACGTCTAGTGTTTCCTCTTGAAGTTGTTCGTTCACTGCAAGAACTGTCGGAAGCCCTCGGAGGCAAGCAGCTGTTGGAAGCCCTTTGGGCAACACAATCGGTTGATGCCCAATGTTCCCAAAACCTCCCCACCGCAGTTCCATGACCCGGCCAAATCCGGTATAGCAGTAATACGTATCTGCAGGGCAGAGTACATAGTACAAAATTTTGCTTCGGATCTCTCGGGGGATATTGAGTAGGTGTGAGGAGGGATTTTCTCTTCGCAATGAAAATATCGCGCCCCTTCTACGGCGTGGTGCGTATCTAATAATTAGCCCCTAATTGAGCTACCTTCGGTTCGGTAGATAGGCAACTTACTCATCTCTGATGAGGAGATGCTTATGAAACCTTTCGTTGAGCTCTTGCAACAACTGATTTGTGTTGGCATCTTGCGAGCGCTTTTTTCGGGTGTGGCTTCCGGAATCCATGACTGAGTGGGGCTGCCGTTTGTGTGGAGGTTGAAATAAGCCAGAAGCGATATTTAAAACAGTCTGGTTGCTGAAATGGTGTATGAATAGGTCATAGAAAGGAGGGAAGCACTAATATTCTACTTGAGTTCAACGTTATGCCGTCTTACTTTCTCCCTCGACTAATAGCCAAACATCAAAATCGACAAAAAGTGGGGTGGTGGGGCTACCTTTCTATAATTGTAGCTGCAGCTGTACTCGATTTGGAGTTGAAATTCAGCTGAGGCTCAGCTCAGATTGCCGCTTTTCCCTCAACAAAACTTTACAATAAAGCTTTTTTTTTAATAAAAAAATTTATGGCAGTGAAATGAAGTACTTATAGACGCAAGGAGCGTTGTGGTTGATCTCGCCTGGTACAGCTGAGGTGCTGTTAACAGAGCTTAAATAAACAGAAAAGTTCAAACTCGAGAATATAATCATGCCCGATACTGAAGTTTAAATGAAACATAATGTAAATAATAAAAAGTAGGCAAAGAGTACGTAGTTTTATGAAAAGACGTCACGGGATGAGGGACAACGAATCTTGCACTCCAAGGTTCTTCGAGAACACCAACTCTCCAAAAGTGGATACAAAATGGCAGTGCATACAAACCATCCTCTTGGCTCACGACCACCTGTTCCAGCCGCCCAACCCCCAAACGGCACTCCGTACTAGATGCCTTCTCCCTTTCATGTGCCAGATATTCGCCGGGCCCACACCGAGTCTCCCGAATCGATGGGAAGCAACCGGCAGGCATTGAAATCGTCCGAATGCTATGGGGCCTCAGTGATGGATTGCTCTGGGAAGATAGCCATGTGCAACTGCACCAACGACCCGTCCTGCCACCCAAGAAGGCAACGGCATCGATATCAGGATTCCACATCACGCCTCTCGTCTTGTACTCCCTGTTCTTGAGCTTTCATGTCTCGTACCACCTCAGGTAAAAGCGCGGGACTCTGCGCAGGCGGAGGAGAGGGGAGAAGGTTCGATGTTGGAGGTGTAGAAGCGAGCGCAGACGTCGTGGGAACGGTTGTAGTCCACGAGGGTTGTGAGGTCTGTGAGATGTTCGGGAGGGATCTCATCGCATGACTCGAGAGCAGAGGAGATGCTCCCACATTTAGAAGAGGGTCTCGCGAGGCAGAGCTGGGAAGAAGGCGAAGTTTTCGAGCATGTTGTCGATATAAGCGCTTCGAAATCGTCGGTTGCGAAAGTGTGAGTCGTTGTGTTGCTAGGAAGGAAGGAGCCTGGTATTGTACCTATGCTGCGACCACCCCTGGGAAAGCGACGCAGTTAGGTTGGATATTGCATTTCACATACTTCCCCTTTGAATGTCTTTTCTGAAGATTCTCTCATTTGTCGCACATTCCGAGTCCAGATCGTGATGGTTGTTCAACTGAAGTGTGGACGTTGAGATAAAATGATGGTTCTGGAAGGGTCGTGCTGGAGACGCGCTTCGACGCGTCTCCTGAAGCAACCCCAAATTTACGAAGGAACGTTACAAGTCAATCATCAGCCTCATCTCAAAACAGCAGCATTTCAAAGCAATTCGGCCGGCATTACATGACCAAGGAACTTGGTCCGGATGCTGAAGCGGCGCAATTGAAGGACATTGACATTGGAATCCAATCTTAACTCACACGTTGGCATGAACGAGAAGCTTCTCTTTGCCTTGGGCCTCCACCTTCGAACCCCTCTCCCTGGAACACAAGTCATACCCAGGGAGCAGTCCACTGGAACCATGGACAGTGCAGAGTCTACCCTCGTCGAGGCCACGAGCCAAGCAGAGCAGCCGGGCGGTTTAGAGGGACGTGAAGACGCGCAGAGCGGTAGTTTTAAGAGGCCAAGAGACCCCCCAAATCTAGTGTAAGCAACCTCACGTTCCAATAAACTGCACAATTCCTCAAAATGATTAGGGATCCTCAACCGATTGTCGAGGTTCATGTCATCTCCCCGTTTGGAAATACGAAAACCTACCGAGTCCACAAGAACTTTATCTGCTACTATTCGCCCTTCTTCGACGCAGCATTTAATGGCAAATTTGCGGAGGGCGATACTCAGTCAATGAAGTTAAAGGACACATCTACGGAAGCGTTTGGAATCTTCGTCAATTGGCTGTAAGTTGCGACTTCTCAGTGTATTAATTTCTCTCGCAACGACGTCCAACGGCTCCTATAACATTCTACTACCAAAGTTACCTGGAAGAAGTGTGCTGACTTTGATTTCTTTTTGGGAATAGGTACACCCAAGACATTGAAAACAATAAGAGAGACCTGCCATCCTGCGAAGCCTTGATAAACTTGTGGCTGTTAGCAGACTTGGTGCTTGTTCCCAGTCTGCAGAACGAGGCAATGGAGAAACTTGAAGAGGCCCGGATATTGAGGAAGAGACTCCCTTCATCAGCTCTTGCTCGCGCGTATGAGCATACCTCCAAAGGCAGCCCATTGCGTCGCTACATCGTGCGGACTTGGTCGATGTCCAGGATCTGTAACCACGGCAAATATCCCCGCGAGCTTCTCGTCGACATCATCAACAGTCCGAATTATCGAGCATGCTCAAGTACTGGAAGGGCGATGGCCACGACCGCATGGGAGGAACAGGACTTGCCTCTGAGCAACTTTTTTGTCAATGAAGAGGAATGTTCGGTGAGAGAGCAAAGAGTTGCTGGACCTGAAACGTCCGAGAGGATGGCGAAGAAGAGGAGGATTGAGGAGGCAGAGCAACCTACAGAAGAAGTCCTATCATGCGCATATGTGAAACTTACGCCATGTTGATTATACTCCCTATCTAACCACGCCTCCTGGCGAGCGGACAAATAAGAGCAGTACTAAATTCTCAATGCCACAATCCAAGTTTGAATACTCTCTTCCTGCAGCACATATTCCCAGCAGCGGTTAATTCATTTATGAACTTCGCTACGACATAAGACCTTGGTGAGGAGTGGTACTGTTGCCGATAAGAGTCTAAGTCTATCAGATTGAGGAACGTTTGCTCGTTAGCTTTAGGAGCTGGCGTCTCTGTGAGGCCAACGATCTCTTGCTTTGACGGTCGTTGCTTTGTGGGACAGGGTCTGGGTCTGACGATGGTCGGCTCGTGTCAGATTGCTTTGAAGGAGCCAACCCAATCGGGCTGTCTGAGTAATGATAGTTGACTTCTATCAGACTACTCGATGAAATTAGCACTAATCCCCAGAAAGCGAGTTTGTGAGGATGGAAAAGATCAGTCGACTACGATCAAGACCCAGCATCTTGTCAGCCTTGCTGCCGGACGTCGCCATTTCCGAATCACTTGCCACTCCCTAAATGTCAGCATATATTCAGAAGGTGAGATATAGGATTTAACCAGTCGGTATATGAGGAGGGAATGCTGTGACCGGCTGTGAGAGTGCATGATATTGGAGAAGGAGTGAAGGTCGGGGCCAAAAGAGATTGGCGGGGAGGCCATGAATGTCGGGATGGGGTCCGCGGCGCACTTCGATACTGTGCATGTGACACTCCTTTAGTCCCCCCTCCCTAGAAGCAACCTCTCCCATCCAGTTCATGACCTCATCTTAGAGGAAATAAACAAGCCGGGACTTGGTCCGGAAACATCCTCTAGAGCTGTCTAAAAGGGAGTATAAGTCAACCTGATATGGCGCGGAAAACGGATATAATCAGAGAGGGGAAGAAAGAAAGAGATTGCCTTCAGGGTGTTGAAGTCTCAAAAGTTTTTGATGAGCACGATCACCCCACTTGGATTCTAAATCTCATTTCTCGCAATCACACGCAGTCTGAAAATGTTGACACTGTATCTCAAACGTTTGATTCAATCCTCCCAACTGACTTCTGAAGAACTGGGCACTCTCTCCTCGCCCTTCCTTTCCTTGCTCTCCCATCAATCTCCAGGATTAAGGTATATACAAGAATAGAATAAACATTAAACAAAAACAATTCGCTGTAGCTCACTTCCTACACATTTGTAAATCAATCTCTTTGATTTTCCATTATGCCCATCTTGCCAAATTTTAAAAACGCCTGTTTCAATGAGTGTGGGTATCTCCCTTTCCATGCAAAAATGACAGTGTGTCGGGTATCTCAATTCGTAAGGATCGTGTGATGTCGTATCGTCTATAAATCCCGCTGTTCCGTGTAGGTATATAAGGATCGTGGGTATCATGCTCGCTCGAAATCAATATCAAAACAAAGGGAATAAATCATGATACGCAATGCTCGCCTCGTTCATATGAATAATAACGCTTTCAAATCACCGAAAACAAAAAACAAAAAGGGAATCAAAGGGCGAGGGCTAGAGCCAACATCCCCGCAATGAATCCCGCGAAAGCCATCGAAGGGTTCAAGTGATTCCCCGCATTAGACCCCGGCGGGATCTGCGACGGCGCGCTCGTCGACGCGCCAAGATTCGTGCTCGTTTGAGAGAAGGGCTGCGAGTTTGTGCTTGACGGGCTCGAAGGAGGAGTGGCAGGAGAAGGAGAGGGCGTCGGTGTGTTGGTGCGCGTAACCCCAACACTGATCGTCGGAGTGGGTGCTTGTTCTGTCGCGACAACGACACTGTGCGTCACTGCCGGTGGCGTGTTGACTTGAATGGACGTACTCTCTACAATCGGCTGCGCTGGCGGCTGCGCATTGCAGAAGGTGATGAAAGGTGCGAACTCAGGGGACACATAGGTTTGGAGGGTGGCTTTTGTGGAGTCGCCGTTTGCTTGCACGCAGCTTTCGCAGGCGCTGAGTTCGGATTCGAACGCGGAGCCGGAAGAGCAGAGCGCGGGAGACTTGCCGACTTTTTGCGCTTCGATATAGCAATTGTTGCAGAGTGCGTAGCAGACGGCGGGGACGATAGTGCTGTCTCTCTTCTGGAGTGGTGCTGGGAGTGCACGTGCCTGAGGAGGTAAGTGCCGTACTTTCTTTGCGGCGGCTGTGGCTGCGGGAGGGAAGTGCGTGATGGAGGCTTGGGACGACCAGTCACCGGTTGCAACGCCGTTGACGACAGTTTCGGCGAAGATGCCGTAGTCGAGACCGAATGCTGGTGGTGGCAAGTTGAAGTAGCCTTGTGTTGGGGGGTAGAAGGAGGTTTCGTGATCGGGCCATACGACAGGTGTGAAGGGGGGAGATGGAATACAGAAGGAAGCGTCGCAGAGGTAGTCGTAGCTTGGGGGCTGGGCAAAGACGGTACAAGAGTCGGGCTTGGGAGGGCTGCAGACGAAGCCTGGAGAGCAACCCCAGAGAGCGTTGGGTCCTGTGTCTTGTGGAGTGACGGGTGCGGAGTTCGTTGGAGCTGGGCAAGTGACGACTGATGATTCCGTGACTGTCTCGGTACTTCCAGGACCACTTACTGTCTGCGTTGGCCCAACAATGGTGATAATTTGCGTAATAATGCTGGTCACTGGAGGCTGGATGGAAGTAATTGTGGTTCCACTTTGAGTTATTGTCAATGTAGTGCCGGGAAGGATAGTAGAAGTGGTCACAGTAATGATATTTCCAGGAGCAGTTATTATCTGTGTCGGCCCAACAATGGTGATAATTTGTGTAACAATGCTGGTCACTGGAGGCTGGATGGAAGTAATTGTGGTTCCACTTTGAGTTATTGTCAATGTCGTGCCCGGAAGGACAGTAGAAGTGGTCACAGTAATGATATTTCCAGGAGCAGTTATTGTCTGTGTCGGCCCAACGATGGTGATAATTTGTGTAACAATGCTGGTCACAATGCTGGTCACTGGAGGCTGGATGGAAGTAATTGTGGTTCCACTTTGAGTTATTGTCAATGTCGTGCCCGGAAGGACAGTAGGAGTAGTCACAGTAATGACGGTCACTTGAGTTGTGGTGATTGGTGGGATTGTAACAGTGTGATCGTTTATAACCTGTAAAGGAATTAGCTGTGTGTTCTCAACACTCCGGTTATCAACATACAGTGAATGAGTGATCGATTGTTGTTGGAACATCTACTGTAACAGGAACATCGATTGTTGTTGGAACATCTACTGTAACAGGAACATCGATTGTTACTGGGACATCCACTGTGACAGACACATCGACTGTTACTGGAACGTCCACTGTGACAGGTACATCGACCGTGACTGGAACATCAACTGTTACTGGAACGCTAACGATATCCGTCTCCGTGAACTAAAGAATGTCAGCTTTCCATCCTTCAAAATCCACTTATGAGCAACAAACCGTGAACGAGTGATCGACTGTTATTGGAACATCCACGGTGACTGAAACATCCTGAAGTAAAAGTCAGCACTAATAGCTTGGGTTCTAGTTCAAAAAACGCACCACTGAGACCGTATCCGTGAACGAGTGATCAACTGTTATTGGAACATCCACGGTGACTGGAACATCCTGAAGCAAAAGTCAGCACTAATAGCTTGGGTTCCAGTTCAAAAAACGCACCACTGAGACCGTGTCAGTGAAAGAGTGATCCACCGTCGTTGGAACATCAATCGTGATATCCACGGTAGTCGGGTAAGGCGAGGGGACGTCCTATCGAAAAATCAATACACGGCCGTTTGCCTTTTACATTCAAACTTACAATGGTGACAAAATCGGTTTCTGTGGTGGGGTATGGCGAAGGAACGTCCTAAAGCAATGATCAGTACAAATAAATCGGCGCTTGGCATATGAATTCACGTACGATTGTGACAAAATCAGTTTCCGTAGTAGGATAAGGCGACGGCACATCCACCGTGGTCGGAACGTCCTAAAGCAGTTTTAGTACCCAACAGTATATGTTCTGGATTTAAACATACAACAGTGACAAAATCAGTTTCCGTAGTAGGATAAGGCGATGGCACATCCACCGTGGTCGGGACGTCCTAAAGGAATTTTAGTACACAGCAGCTTATGTCCTGGATTTAAACATACAACAGTGACAAAATCAGTTTCCGTAGTAGGATAAGGCGACGGCACATCCACCGTGGTCGGGACGTCCTAAAGAAATTTTAGTACACAGCAGCTTATGTCCTGGATTTAAACATACGACAGTAACAAAATCCGTTTCCGTGGTGGGATAAGGCGACGGCACATCCACCGTGGTCGGAACGTCCTAAATGGATTTTAGTACCTAGCAGCTTATGTTCAGGATTTCAACATACAACAGTGACAAAATCACTTTCCGTGGTGGGCACATAATCGGTCACCGTCTTGTAGTCAGTCTCATAGTCTGTTGCAGTCTTGTAGTCAGTCACATAGTCCGTTGCAGTCTTGTAATCAGTCTTGTAGTCGGTCTCGTATGTGGTCTCGTAGGCTGTTTTGGTTTCGTAGTCCGTCTGATAATCAGTTTTTGTCTCGTAGTCGGTCTCGTAGGCTGTTTTTGTCTCATAGTCCGTCTGATAGTCCGTCTTGTAGTCCGTCTGGTAGTCCGTCTGGTAGTCCGTCTTGTAGTCCGTCTGGTATTCCGTCTGGTATTCCGTCTTGTAGTCCGTTTCAAAGTCGGTCTCCCAGCGAGTTTCATAGTCGGTCTTGTAATCCGTCTCATAATGGTCAACCTAGTCTCTCAATCAGCAACAATTCAAGACATCAGGGACATAACCCCGCACCGTCGTGGCGTGGTATTCCACGTCTGTTGTCCATATTGTCGAGTAGAGGCTTGAGCAGTGTTAGAAATACCGCATATCTCTGAAAAGGTTCAAACATACATTGAATAACATGTGGTGGTGCTCCACGAGATCACCGTCGAGGGAATGCACCCTGTTTGGCACACTAGACAGCCACTGCAACTATCTGTGTTGCAATTCCCCTTGGGACCCGGGTAACAAGAAGAGCACCCGCTGTTTGAACCAGTATCTGGAGTAGCTTGTGCGATCGTCTGCACTATCGCATTCGGTGCTGGTAAAGTTGCGTTCCTATATTTCAGGAATTGTTGGCCTTGCACCACAGTCACCAAGCCCACCAAGACCCCCAAACTTGAGCTCCAAACCATCGCAGGATATCGCGACGCAAAGAGTTTGCGGCGAAACGACGGAATCGACAATAGCAATCTGCTGCAATCCGCGAGCGAGCGTGGTTAGAAGACGGCTGCGTACTTCTGCAACAGGAACAACGAACGGCTGCGCTTTTCAACAGAAGTGGTGGTGCGGCGCCTGGCTGAGAGCTATTATATGACTAGGTACGACTGGGTCCCATCAGCCTTGGGCAGGGGGGTCGGAGGCGGCCTGACAGGGATAGTGATGACCAATAGGATGGTGATCCTTGCCAGCCTCGGCTGGAGCTTTCCAAATCTTCAATGTTCCCGAACAGATGCAGCTTATACCACGAGGATGTACGATGCAACACAAAAAGACAAGCGAGAGAGCAGAATATTTTATTACGCAGTTTTCTCACTTAAGAAAGCGGCTCGGGGACAAAGCAAGAGTGGAGACAGAGCTGGGCTGAGGTTGAGAATCTGGACAACACCACGTTACCTAGAGGAGCGACACTTGCATTGGCAGGCCGTGACAGCGGCTTGCAGAGGGCCTGCCGCGGTCCCAGCGGACTCGAAAGATCCGCAGGACCCTGGTTTATCTCCACGGTGAGTCTGCATCGGATGACAAGCCCAGGCAGATTCGGCAGAATCCACAGGAAAGTCCGGAACGAGCCGCACAAGACTCGACAACGCACAGCAGTCTGTGGCTGATTGGTAGTGACGAAAAACAAGTTGTGTGCCTGAGAAGCCGCCAAGTGGGAGCATGATTCGTCCTGCCCGACGGGACGATTCGTCCAAGACAAATTCCCGTAAACCGGGCTTGATGGTGGGCCAGATTCCGTCCGCCTTCTACAGGTGGTTGGGAAGAGTCTATGCAGTGGAGTGAGTGACTCTCGAAAGCTTCTGGTCCGATGGTGCCGGGGCTCCTTCGGGTTGATTATCTTGGGGGCCAAGTTGGAGCTCTGAGCCTCTGAGCCTCGAGGCCTCCAAGGTGGGCGGGTAGGCTCGAATGTGAGAGGAGGAGGATTTTGCACCTGGAGGAGTAAGTTGGTGAAGATGCATCTGGTGCATGAGGCTTGCAGATGTCGTCTGCTCGGAGGGCGCCAGAAATAGAAGTACTGTAGGCGTGGTCTCACTTCGCTGGCGTGGATTCGTTGGCTGCATAAGCGAGTCTCCCAACGATTGGCTGTGGGGGGAGGAAAGGCGGGGGGAGCTAAGACGCGATCGGTCAGGCCGCACCGACGCCTTTTTCTGCCCAGCCCAGCCCCGCTGCCTCTCTGCCTCTGCCTCTGCCGCTCACGATGCATGCGACCAACCTTCTCTCTCCGCGCTTCTCAAATCCATCCCAACTCGTCGCCAGAGGAGCGCCCCCCGGCCCTCTGCACGTGCAGCAGAGGAGGCAAGGTAAGCTTAAAGGCACCCTGAATATGGCCAGTCCCATCCCTGTGCCTTTGCCCAGAAACAGCAGCTCCGACCCCATTCTGGCCAGCGCGGAAAGCTCTGGAAGAGAGGCTGACCGATTCAATACTTCCCAATATAATCCACTTACCCGACGTGCGAGCACCCTGTCTCCGGAGTGATGGCGAACTCTCGACGAGGCCTTGGGACCTGGATCGATATCAACCAAGTGTTATCAGCTCTGTGGCTGTGGCGGAGCTGTCCACACGGGATGTTGCGCCGTGGAAATGGCTGTTTGACTGCATGGCGCTCTTTGAGCCGGAAGATGCTTTTCTCGCGTTCAAGCCATCCTGCAGGGTAGCTTTCCAGTGAGCGGCCTACGGTGGATGGGAAGAATCGGTGAAAGAATCAGCTGGACCGCAAGGCTGAAGAGATGCGACGACCCAGCCAAGCGACCAGCGGTGCATCACAACCCAGATCCCCCAATCAGAGACCCCAGGTCCGCCAATCCTGCACGGCAACGGACTTGCAGGGGCAATCGGCCTGAAGACAGATGCAGGTGCAGGCATCTCCCCACCATGATCACCTCAGTCGCCGACTGTTGAGGAGCTCCAGTCCGTGGAGCACTGGAGTGTCGTATGCGTACACCGTATTGCAGAGCAAGGGCCGCATCCCCTCCGCATTTGCTGCACCTGCTGCACAGTCAGAGCAATCACGAAATCTGGCCCTGCCCCCCGGCCTTCCCAGCGTTGCACCAGGAATGCGGAAGGCTCACTTCGACCGAGAGGGTGGCGGATTCCAAACCTTCATTCCTACTGGAGATTGTTGATCGAGACGCGCGACAGAGTGTTCGTGTAGCTTTTCCAACGTCCTGCCTCATGCGCCGAGCCTCATCATCTCCACGATCCTACAGCCTTCTCGACGAAAGTTAGGGCTTCTCTTCTCATCATGGCCTCGTTGATTATCTTTCTGATTGCGGGGTTCCTGGCGCGGCTCTGCGCGGCTCAACAGGCGGGATGGGCGACAGGCCAGGTCAACGCAACCATGTGTTCATGGCAAGCTCCAAGAGGTACGCTCACTGGATATTGGGGGCCGTCGCTGCTCTTTGCCGAAAGACCGCAACTAACGGAGATGCAGCTGCTGTTATTCGTGACACTGTCTACATCGATGGAGGCTACTTGTGGTGGGAGCCAGGGATGTCCGATGGGACATATGGAGCACCTGTTAATGATGGTAATACAGCAAGAACACTCTCTAAATAGCAGTGGATGCTTACTCTCTCAGGAAATCCCTTGGGGATTGTATATTCCTTGAACTTCAGCACTCCCTTCAGCACGACACAGTCCTTCAACATGAGCAATGTCTTCGGAACGACATCGAAGGGTGCCGGCGGAAGCGAAGCAAATAACATTGGCCCATTGTACTATGATGGAGGAATGTTTGCCAATGATTATGAGTGGTTTACATATGGAGGTCTTCTCTCATTGACAGATGCCTACCCAGCGCCTCCAGACAACGCGGTTGCACAGTACAACCAATATGCAAATGGTCCGCCGAAACAATTTGGAAATGGATTTGTTCTCCAATATTTGCCAAATGGGATTACCAGATACGTCACCGATGGCGCAGCTGTCAGCGTGCCTTCTGAAAATCTTGGATTCTATTTTGGTGGACTACGATCTTCGACTTTTGGGCCGATATATTATATCTCTGGTAATGCCTCTCTGAACGCCGATGACCTGTCTGAAACTTTGATTGAGGTGGATATGAGTTCTCAAACCAAAGCAAAGTGGAACAACTACACTCTTCCAACTAATGTTCCTGGGAGGGCCAATGCTGAAATCGTCTGGGTCCCCGTTTCGAAGCAAGGAATTCTCGTGGCCATCGGTGGAGTTATCCTTCCCGCGTACGCAAATGTCAACCAAACCGATACTCCAGCGCAGAGGGCTCTGAGTGTTTGTATTTCTCTTCCAATTCTGAATTTTGACACTGACATTTGTAGCAACAACAAAGCCCTGCATTCATGACGACCGTGGCTGTTTACGATATCGCCAACCAAGTTTGGTATGAGCAAGAAACATCGGGGACACCCCCAGGCCAAATGACCCTAGGCTGCGCTGTGGTAGCGTCTGCTCAAGACGGATCAAGTCATAACATCTATTGGTATGGTGGTTTCAATGGCCTTGACCAAGGAGGAACTTACAGTGACGACGTCTGGATTCTCTCCGTCCCTTCCTTCATGTGGATGAAAGCCAAATCAGGAACGCTTTCCCACGGTCGTGCTGGACATAAATGCGTGAAACCATATCCAGATCAGATGTTCGTGATAGGAGGATACCCTTCCCTTACTGGAACCTCCTTCCACTGCCTTGAAGGAAACGTCATCCAGGTCTTCAACCTCAGCAGCCTTGAATGGATTGATAAATATGACCCAAGCGTGTGGAGCAATTACACCGTGCCCGCAATGATATATGACATGATAGGCGGGACTGGCACCGGCAGCGCAACGCAGACCGCGCCCTCCTCAACCATCTCTTCAAACGCAACCATGATCGCGCTCTTCCAGCAACAATACAATACCTCAAAAATAACAACCTGGTACCCGTACCACGCGACCACCACTTCATCCAGCCCCCGGCCTACCCTGCCCTCCGTGGTAGCCAAACCAGGAAGCGGGACGCCTTCATTCCTCGCACCCGTACTGGGCGTAATTCTCGGCCTGGTATTCATCACTTGCCTCGTTGTAGCAATCATGCTCTACCGCCGCCGCAAGCTCCTCAGCTCAAACGGCACCGCAACGCAGAGCGAGAACGGCACAGTGGACCGCCAACGCGGGGTGCTGGGCTGGCTGCGCGGTGTGAATGTGGATGCGAAAGCGCCGACTATTACCACGGATGAGACTCCGAGTAGTCCTTACGATGAGGACAACCCGTATTTGCCGCAGCCGCAGGAGATCGGTGGTGGACAGGTGCATGAGATGATGGGTTTGTCCCCTTCCCCCTTTTCCCTTCCTCCCCTTCCCTCTTTTCACCCTCACAAAACCGTATATAATGCTGACGAACACAGACACATCCCGCCCTCAAGAGCTCTCAGATTCCGGAACAGGCTTCACACCCCTCGCTCTCTCTGGTGGCACCTCCCGCAACTCGCCCAAGGGCCTTAGCTCCTCCCCGTCCGTAGCATCCAACACTTCAGCCGCCTCCTCAGTCTCCCACGTCTCGGGGCGGCATCCCTCTATCCCCGCCATCTCCCCCGTTGCCACATCGCCAAACTCTCCGGAAGAGGGAAGGATTATCAGCGGCGTGTCTAATTTGAGTGAGACCGATAAAGGCCATTTGAGAGGCATCAGTGAAACGAGCGGTGTGAGCATTTCTACTAGCGCGGGCGCGGCGATGGTAAGTCCTGTTAGTCCACCGCGGGTGGAGGGGAGCGATTATATTAGTGCGAGACCTGGTGGTGAGGGGACATTTGGGCCTGGCAGTGGGGAGGGGAGTGGGAGTCCCGCGTCGAAGAGGAGGAGTAATTTTGCCGAGGAGTTGGATGAGAGTAGACGGTAGGGTAAGGCTTGGTAAATTGGATGAAGAAGGGGGATTCTTTGTACATCTTTTTGAAATTTTGACGGATGAAGGATGCAAGGAAACATGGCGTTCTGGTTGGACAGGCAATTTGTCTTACGTTCTCTAATTTGAAATCTGAAATCTTCTGCAAAGATGCCTTTTGTCTCATGGGTGTTGGGATCTTTTGTTGACCATCTCTTTGTCTCTTTTCCGTCCTCATTCGTCCGATATGGCCATGCTTTGCTGTTCTCGCGAGTACTGATCAGAATGCGCCCGTCGTAATCTTACAGAGTTATCATTATAGATTCATATGCTTGACACAACACCACGTCCGAGCAGGAGTCAAGTTTTGACTTTTTATTTTTTACTATTATTACCGTACAAGAATCCACCATCATGTCATAGAGGTATCTATAGAGGCCTCATTGTCCCTACTCATCTCCACCCATTATCAATTCGCCTATGGAGGCCACCACGTCTCCACCATCCTACCCCTCCCTATTTCCAGACCCACCCCTTTAAGCGCTCGACTCTCTTGGTATTTCTTGATTCAGACCGATGTTCTCTTGCCATCCTGTTATGACTGCTTCGAGGGTGCCCGGAAAGACTCAAACACGCAAGTATTCTGAGAAGAAGCATGATAGCGCTGAAGCTGAGGAGGGCGGTACTACAGGTGGCAAGAGAACATCGGTCTGAATCAAGAAATACCAAGAGAGTCGAGCGCTTAAAGGGGTGGGTCTGGAAATAGGGAGGGGTAGGATGGTGGAGACGTGGTGGCCTCCATAGGCGAATTGATACTGGGTGGAGAGGGTTTTGGTCCATATTCCGCATGGGCCGCAGCCTTTGTTCTAAGTCTCTTGCCTTCGGGGTACTTCCGTAGATTCAATCTTCACAGTCTCTTGTCCAATTCCGCATTGTTCCGGATCCCTCTTGTCACACGAACACTTTGAGAAATGTTCCTGCAACGCCATTGAACGAAAAGGCAACTTTGATCATTCAGTTCCGATTGGCAAGGCGAAGAATGATCCTGGCCTGGAGTGGTCCGATAGAATGGGGAGGAAGTTGTAGCTGCTCGTGGGTCGGGTGGTGTGGTAAAAGACGTACAATGAATCATTGAGATTCTTGAGTCTTTGGCTTGTCGACGGCCCTAATTTGCATATCATGAGAGAGAATGCCCACGGAGAAACCCTCGTGGTATATGAGTGCCTCGGTGACTTGGTCAGCTGTGAAGAAAGATCTTGGGCAGAATGTGGATCGTTCTGCAGCGCTGCTCGTGGTATTATTCGTTTCCTGTTGCTGCTTTGCAGAAGAATGGAACACAAATGCAGGCTCCCTGACGAGAGAAGTACCATGGATATCGGTACACCCAGCAGATTGAGTACCTCTTTGACGAGCATAGTACCGGAGTTCAATCTCTTCAGGGTCAAGGAGAAGTGGCTAGTGGCGGGCCCTTTGGTAGGTTCTTTCGGGAGCGGCTGGTTCTCTACATACGGAATCCCGGACTGGACCAAACGAGACGTTCCAGTCGGTGGAAGAAAGAATGCCTCCTATGCCTCCTCTTCTCAAGACTTTGGCATCGGGGGCCTGTGTCTCCATACTAAAGCTCATAACCTCGGCCCGGAAAACAGCCATGGTAGCTGTGACTTCGATTCTGGTTGACAAGCCGCTGGTTGACGCGCCTGGTGTCGGTCCAGTTGTGCTTGGAGGGAAACTGCGCTTGTTCCAAGCTTCTCCAATGCCTTGACTCTTTGAGATATTCCAGAACCTAGCTTTGTTTACAGTCGTGCTACCTCCTGTTCTGGGTAGGTTGATCTTTTTTGCCAGCGGCCGGGTAGACAAGTTGTTTACTTTGTCCAGGTATGCAACAGCAGCTGACACCGATCTTGTGAGTCTTTGTGTAGGCTTCATTGGAGGGCTAAGTGACACCTCAGGAGATTGATGAACAGAGGGTAATCTTTAGAACACCTCCTCTCTTTGCGGAACCAAAGCGAAGTCAGCAAGTGTGCGGCTTGGTGTTGCGGCTGGTGCACTCTACTGCCGCCGCGGCAACCACTTTTATTCGTTTACTCTTTTTTGGGAACTTTGAAACTACAAACCTCATTCCCATACCTAAAAAGAAAAGCAATAATAAGCCTATTGTACTACACGCTACTATTAAGACCAAAGAACGAGTCACGAGCCTACTTCCGAGACCCTCTCAAAGTCAAGCAATCCAATCGCCTCCTACCTCATCAAAGCCAATATTCCTCAAAATGTCTGAGCCGATCAAAGAACAGAGTATTTTTTGGGGTGCCTCCGATTCTGATCATCAAGGTCCTGTATGTACCTATTATTATTTTGGGCCCTCTCTTCTGGGGACATGTAGAAATTTACTGCATCGTTATCATGCCAACGGAGTGTGAAGTAATGAAGTTCTCATTTTGAATCCGGCTGATACACGAAACTTTTAGTACTCAGCCCATCCGTTTGCTTTGGGTGGTGTCTACCCGGCTGGAACTTATGTATCTAAGGAAGAGATCGTCCCTCGCCTTGTCAAATGGGCCAATGATAATCCGAAAAGCCGTGAGCAAACGAAGCACCTCGCGTCATTGGTCCCCACGCACTTCAAGCGTGAGATTAAATTGAGGAAGGGAAAGAGTGCAGCCGGACTCGAAGATAGCAGCAACCGACCATCCTATAAGGAGGGAGGTTTGCTGTTTGTCGTTGGGCTAGAGCGCTTTGGTAACCGGCGATGTGAGCATTGCCAGAAGGGAAACGGCCCCTTTGATGGATGCGTGGTCTTGAGGGGTTTTATGAACGGATGTTGTGCGAACTGTAGGTACGACGAGTACCAGAATCGGTGCAAATACGAGTACGGTAAGTCAGAATATTTGCAAGACTACGATTGTACTTACTAATGTTTAAATAGCGAATGGTACCAAGAACCAATGATGCAGTTGATGGTTGGCGGGTGTTTGGTCACGGATCTCCCTCACTACTATCCCTCTTTATGTATTGTGTATGGTTCAGGTCCCGTAGAGAGAAATCACAAAAGTTGTTTACTTGCGCGAGTAGAGAGTGGGGCTGCTCATTTATTTGTCAAAACAAAAGCCAAGCAAGGTTTTCAGCATTTGCATCTCAGCCTTGAATCATATTTGCTCCTCGCGTGATATATTGTCGTCCGTCGATCTTGACGCTGCGGATGTTCTTTCTGTACAGGAAAGCGGGATTGTCATTAAGGCAGGTTGGCAAATGCACAACGGACAGTACATTTTTGTAAACGAGGACCTGCACGCGGTCAAAATGTTGGAAAGAATCTCTGCAGGTGAGAAGGAGTGGTGGCACTCCTAAGCAAGGCGTTGGTGTTACTTTTCCTTCTCACCCACAGAGCCTCTTTCAGGAAGGAAAAGATTGCAGAGTACGTATTGAGTTTGTAGTGCCCGGAGAATTCAGACTGGCCTTTCTTCGTGCCTCTGTATATCTAATAAGACTTGCGAGAAGATAGAGAATACCGAGCTGCAACAGAGGGTCAATTGAGGTCAATATCCAAACTACAGGGAGGAGTTTGAAGTGTATCAGTGACTTGAGAATGAGACCGAACTTCTCACAGGGCGAAGTGTATGTACTACGGCTACCATCCATCTTACATGCTGTTACACACCTCTCGGGACAGATTTTGAAATTCTTAGATCGGTGCTGTTGTAAGTAGCCTTTTGACTGCAAACCCCTCATAAGGAGAGCCAAAGCTAAATGGGAAGACATTTCGATGTATGACAGCAACAATTGGCGTGAAAATTTTGTTTGCGCCAAGTGGGGTTGTGTATCACCGGTGCTCACATATCTTTTCCTAACAGGCAGAAGTACCCACATCTCAAGGGACCATCAGGAGGAAATTCAGCTGTAGCCTCGATGTTCGTGTGTTCAGGTACGGAACCCGGCAACATGAGTGGCCGGTTCCTTACATTTGCTCTTGTCGCTGATGCATTTGTCGGCGCTCTTCCTCCTTTCTCAACACCTCCTTGTACCACAGAGCTTTCTCGCAGGTGTGGCGACCGTCATTTGTGTAGATCGGTCACTCAGCCGGAAGCTTCCAAAGGAGAAGGAGCAGGTAGAAACGGTCCACGCGACCTTGAGATCAGCACTGTCGGCTATCTTTGCAGTTTGGTATGGTGCCCGTGCCCGATGATTTTTGCGGTTGATAGTAGTGAAGGAGAGCGAGCATACACTGAAAATTACATCGCGAAGTTAGCAAAGAGGCGCTTATCCATTGCAGGGGTTGCACCAGATAGGAAAAGGCGGGTGAAATGGAGATTGGCACTTACCTCCCTATACTCCAATCTATGACAATTCAGAGCTTAGAAGAGTTGCTGCACAAGAACTCGTTCGGGGAAATAGTGGACTTGCAGGTGTGTTCGTCATGACGAGAGCTGTGGTGGTATTGAACCTCGAACTCGACCGTTGAATCAATTGCACTATTTGCATACAATACAAAGCAGCGCAGAGCATCTAGAGAATGTGTTGTATCATAGGGAGTTGTAGCTGACGATGCTACCGCGGGCTCGTAGACAGAGTACTTCAAATTGGCTGAAATTGATTTCACAAAACAGTTGCGTCTAGTAAAAAGCCAGATCAATCGTCAGCCTGATGTGGCCTTTAATCAATATTACTTTGCAAGGGAATTTAGCGTTTCCGAACTCACCATTCGTATATTCGAGACGTGCTGCCATATGCTCTCATCGATTCTTTCATGGAGGGGGCTTTCTCCTCTATCCCCAACATTTCCCTTGGGCAAGTGGTAAAATAATAGTAGGCCTCGACGTATTTGGGCCTTCGAGAGTGCCAAGAAGTTTGGCAGTTTAAAGCCTGGGGGTATTGTTGCGAAGTGTACTTCCATAGATTTCTCCTTCCATGAGATATCTGGGGATTGGGAAGAATTTGCGAGATCAGTGGAAGAATATCGTACGAAGATTGCGGCATAAAGTGACGGGATTACAGGGCATTTGTACCGCAAGTCCACGTTCAGGCCACTTTCTACTACACTCACCCACTAAAGTCCCCTATATTTCCAGGCTACTCTCCTATAAGCACGCTATAAACTATAAACAAGGGGTACCACACCTTTAGAAGGCATATCCCCTGTACTTACAGGGGCAGACTCGCTAAAGGGTCCTATAATAGCTCTCTCACAGCGCCCGAGCACTACGGTTGCTCCGCCAGCAATACCTTAACCCTTGAAGATTTTCCACCACCTTGGAAATGTCTCACAGCCCTTGTTTTAGGGGTTCAGGCCTAGAGTTACAAGGCTTATAGCAGGCGCAGTACCTTAAGCCACACCCTGGAGTCCGCTAACACCCCTATGCGAACGTAAATGCCCTGTAATCCCGTCACTTTATGCCGCAATCTTCGTAGATAGCTGTGGACCTAATCCTTCTCTCAGCACAAAGCAAACATCAACTAGAGCAGAAGGTTTACTGCTTTGTCGAGAACTGTACCAGTAGCCTTCATAAATCATCTGCTGGCCCAAGAAATTTCTTGGACCTCCAATCGGCCACCTAGGTGCGACGCAGCTGCGGCGATGTGCCAGGGCGATTCTGGTGTCTTCTGCCCGACGTGAATAGAGAGTCGAGCAGATCACGCAAGTCTGCGTTAGATAGGCAAAGGTTTGCCCCTTCCTCGGACTTTCATGGTTCACTTCGGTTAACAGGAGGAAGGGCAGCGACGGATGGGCGGGCCACCCAGTGCGCCGGGTAAACCTCGTATCGAGAATAGGCGACTTTGTTTACATTCAGGGGCTGATTCAGGGGTTCGACCAGCATGACAGAGTTTTACGAAGCATCGAAAAGGAGAGGATTCAAATTCTTGAAGACAGGTTTGCATTGTGTCTAGAGAATTTTCAGTCAGATTTTGAAGCTGAGGGCGCCCCCGCTAGCTTACGGAGCTAAGAAAGCGAAATTCGGTCTCCTGCCCGAGTTTTTAATCTCTCCTCCTAACCCCCCGACCACCCTCGGACTCGACAGCAATTTCAAGTGTGAAAGGGGCCTCGCGCTACTAGCAGCAGTTGTTGAGTATGTTTCCTGATAGGCAATCAAGTCAGTCTTCTTCGAGTCTGCTGACCAGAATCGCGATTCCAGCTTTTGATCCTCGCCCAGCGATCCTCAAAGATATTATTTGCCTGAAGGCTCCCCCAGCCCACGTCAATACCACTTCCAGTGAGTGTTTTGTTCTGAATATTCTAACCATCAATGAAGCCTAATACCTCCGTTAGAGAACTACCTGGCCAAGATGTCCATGACAAAAGCTTGCGAGTCGATGAGAGCCGCTGCCCAGGCAGCTCAGCCCTACCCATCTCCAACATCAAATGTTCCCTTAAAAGAACTCAGAGAGCAAGCACATTCTCTTCTCGATCCCTCGAACGACCAGACTCGGAGCAAATTCGAATTCTTCCCCTTCCTACCCATAGCAGTCAGAAATATGATTTGGAAATTGGGAACGCCGAGACCGGATGTTCTCAAAGTCTCGATTCATGGTTGGCGCCGATGCCTTAGCTTGTATGATACTGGCGTGTTTGATGTTCAATCAGAGCAGGATGGAAAATCAGAGCAAGATGATTCTGATATAGAAGGTGGAGACAGCAGCAAGAAGTCCTTGCCATCCTTCACATACAGTGCTTGGGAGGAGTTTGCCGACTTTTCCATCACCGAGTGTTGCAAGGAGGCACGTCATGTCAGTTGCAGCCTTCTACCAAGATCTCTCGCCACAGTGTCTTGCGAGCCTCGAATCCGCTTCGACCCAGCCATCACGGCCATCTATATCCACAATTTTCACGGCCTTCTCATGACTGTTGACTTTAACAAAGAAAACTATACAGGAGAAGATTGGTTTTGTAAGGATTCATGCATTGGTTCCGGAATTACGACACTCGTGGTGCACGAGTCGCGTTTCTGGAATCAGCATCCTGAGTGCCGGTGGGAGTGGTTCAGTGCGTGGAGATGGGTTGGGGTCCTCCGAAAGATGTTTAAGGATGTGGACACGGTGGTTGCTTGGGACATCCTCGAATCACCATGGAGTTTCGAAGACCAGGACCTTCGTTACTGGGAGAAACAAGACGCCGTACAGGCAGAAGATGAACACAAGAATGCGGGAACCCACAGAGCTACTGATCAGAAGGACGTCGATAGCAGTACAGATTCTGCTCAACCAAGACGCGTGAAGTATGGAGAAGACTGCTGGTTCGATGTCGACTTGTTCGAGAAGAAGCTGAACAACTTTTTTGAGGTGGAGGTCGTCGATGTTTTGAAGGAAGATTGCTGCTTCGACCCTTCGAGTCCCAAATATCGAAAGCGTCCTCAACTCAAGTTCCATGAAAGCGCTGATATCAGCAAACGTCTCGATAAATTCAGTCTTCGGATCGGCTCAAAGTGATGTGGTTTCCCTTTCGGCCTCACTTCCAGCTATTCGGATTCACGAAGGCTCTATACTGCCATGTACTGTAGAGTATCTGTAGACTAGCAATGATAAAAATCTCTGAAATAAATGACCAACTGTGACTTGAGCTATTCCGCGCTGCTACGTATTAAATAACATCACAGAATCTGAATTAATACGCACTCTAGTGCTTTACAAAAGCCATTTTTTGCCTATGGATACAAAATAACTATAGCTATAGAAGTCATCAAAAAAACGCGGAGGAAGTTTGAACTGGGCTACCACACGTGCTCTCGTAGTTCGCACAAATGATAAAATCCTTTTCCCGAACTTTCTCGACCAACTCCAACTCCAACCCCACCCGCTTCCGGACAACCAGAACCACTACGCCCAAATGCCTTGAGCTCAAGAAACTTTCATCGAGATAAAAGGCTCGTTATGTAAGCTCCAATTTCATGGAAACTAGCCCTCTGTTGCGCGATTTTGCTGTTCAACATCAAAGTTCTTCCTCCAGGTCGCTAACATGATCTCAGCGCTGGTTCCTCCAGAAGCCACCGTGTACCTAGTTCTAAGCTTCTGCTCCCACTCATCTCGTACGTATCCTACTCTGAATTCTCATCTTCGGGAGAACTAATTGATCCTTTTTTGTGTTACTCGTCCAAGGAGCGAAGCTCTAATCCAGTTCTCTGACACAGTCTGCAGTACTCGCTTCTCCAAAACAGATCTTGCTCCACCTCCGTTCCGCCCCCTTCTGCTATCCCGTACCTGCCTTATTATCATTTTACTCTGAACGGCAACAATAGTCAAGCTGACTTCTCAGGCTCAGGTCCAGCGCCGCAAAAATGTCTTCCTTCACCGAGGAGAAAATGCCAAGCTGCCAGCCAGCACTCCTTGCAAATCCCTGAACCAACCCCTATTCTTACCAAGTCCAAGTTGAAACTCCGAAAATCCGATGGTATCACTACAGAGATCTCTGGTGATGGATTCGAATGCTTTCCTTTCCTACCGAAAAAGGTGCGCGATATGATCTGGAAACTCGCAATGCCATACCCCAAAGTAATCGCTGTTTCCGTCCAAATCAAGAGCTGTAATACTACTAAAGGTAGTGAGAACCACGGTTGCGACGGGTATAAAGATATCTCATTCGTCACCTCTGCTGTTGTAGATAACCGATTCGGAATGGTGATGGCGTGCAAGGAATCTCGTTACATTGGGCACCAAGCTTTACCCCAGTCCACTCCCACAGCATACTCTCAGCTGGCTGGCATCAGATACAATCCCGATGACACAAAAATCCGCGAAAACTTCACAAACATTCTGTTCTCGTTTGAGTTCGGTAATAGGCCCTATGGTAACAGAAAAGAAGATCCTATACTTATCGCGGTCAAGGACTCAAAACTCTTGTGGTTCCAGTAGAAGACGTCTGGTGTACCGATCCTGCTGGAGATCATCCTGCCTACCGCTGGGGTGCTAACGACCACAACTGGCAGCAAATACTTAGGTTCATGTTCAAGGATGTTAAGTTATTGCAGAAATCGACCTCCCGGGTAGCTATACCTTCCGCGACCTAAATTATGACGGCTGGTCAATAGACAGTTCATCCTCAAGCTGTCCACAAATCAATCTTCTTGAAACTCAAACACCTCGCGTAACCGTTTCCGCTGTTCCTCAAATTCCTATCTTCCTCTACACAACCCAGTTGTCATGCAATAAGCCTCGCTCCTAAGTACTAGACTACTTACTTCCTCCGTCAGCTCAGTCCATTCGCTGAAGGTCACAGGCAGTAGGGAAGAATACGAATTTGCCGAGATTGCACCAAGACTTTCCCCCGCGGGCCCTGCTATCATCTGTAGGTACTCCTTCCTTTTCGTCCACATGTTGCATGGGGGGTTTTAACCATTTCAGACTAACAAAGTCTGGAGTAGGAAACAATGGCACCGAAAGCAAAACGACCACTCCTAGACCACAAGCTCCCATCCGCCCCCCTGTTCCACAGCCACCTTCTCCTCGACTAAGTACAATTACCTTCACATTATTCTCGAAGCTCCCTCAGGAAATGAAGGATTAGATCTGGAAGCTCGTCGCCTTCCAACCAGCAGTGCTCACACTTAAGGCCCATTTCACTACCAGCGAAAAACTTGGTCTTCATAGATTCCAGAAAGACGACCCAAAGGCAAAGTTCCAACTTTTGAACCTTACGATCACCCGTGTCAATAATATGTGCATGCTCACCTGCTGCATGGATGCTCGTACTATCGCTTTGCGTAATATCACTTCACGCATCCCAAGTTCGTCTCCGACCTCTCCGATACAGGACGCTCCTTCTCGAATCTTCACCCACCACTCGCAACTGCACGCAACAAAATCCACAGCAACAATATCTAGATTGACAACCAGCGGCTTGCTTGGTCAACGTCAATTACGTCCTAAGTAAGATATCCGGAAGCAAAGCTGTAGCGGTGCTGGCAGTGGTAAGCTCGGGTTGATGTTTGCAAGCTACTAAATTTACTTCTACCTAGCAAGAAAGCTCATTAACCACCCAGTTTTGTCAGACCAAAAGTCAAAGGCAATCCCAGCAAAGGCACCCCAGCACCCATGGGCGCCAAGACGAAGGCAGTCATCAGCTCTTCCAGGAACACGTAGCAACGCGAAGATGTCCGAACTCAAGGAGTATGCTCGACGCGACAGTGAGCACTCCACCAATAGCGTTAACGCCGTACTAACGCCAAGAGCTTCAGGGGCATTGAACAAGACCCGATCAAGGTTGGGGTCAATCAGCATTTGACACGAATTGAAGATCCCGAGATCCTTCGCGAGCAAGTCAGCCAAGCTCGGAGTACTTTAGCAAACTATATAAGAAAACGGGGAACCCTTTCGAGGCACCGCACCCCATCCTATGAGAGGCCAGAGCTGAAGTGAGGCTGAGGATGCTCTGAATCGACGAGGACACCATGAAAGGAGGGCTTCAAAAGTACTGACAGAGGTTCATGGAGTTCTTGCCACGTACTTCGAGGACGGACAATATTTTGCAACAGCACCAGATATAGATATGTCTGGATATCTCGAATTGTCCCTCACAGTTAACTCCTCAGTTCTGATACGCCGTTCCTGCTGAAGTCCCAACCAACCTCCTTTCAACCTTCTGCAGGAAAGTTCTCCAAGCATTCACCATTCTCCTCGACCCATTGCTGTCCTGTCAATCAAAGCTCTTTCACTCCAAGTTCTGAATCAGCAAGTACCAGATTCATCACTGTGTATCCTCTTTGCATGATGGTTTTATTCGCAATTATCAGGTATGGTGGGTATGCGGAGGCAGTCAACATCCACATCCATACCGGAACCCTTGCCTGAGACTTCGTGGATGGCTTCTAAGAATTGTGTACGAGTGATATTGGATGCATTGATGTGCGGTGGGTGATAATAAATTGGGACACTGTAGTAGAAGTGAGGAGGGACAATGAGCTTAAGATCGACTTCGAGGCAGTCCACTAGCGACACCCTAGTCGATTTTTTCCGAACAAGAAGGGCAATCGAACCGCCACAGAGCAACATCTTGATGACCTCAACACCAAGATCACGGGATACTCCTATCAGTGACACTCGGACATCAAATAGCGAGCGGACTCTGGTGCTAGAACTTCTTCGGCTAAGCAAGATATCTCATTATTCGGTTGGTCCGAGAACCCGATACAGCGGCTCCCAGCCGACTATGGTCGGCTGAAACAGATGAAGATTATGAATAAGATGTCAGAGCGGAGGCTAAGGCATGCACCACCTTGTTCCTACACTCTGTTGACAACATGGGGAGATATCTATTGAGACAATCGCGGGAAATTGGCAAATCCAAACGGTCGATACCACGGTCGTACACTGGTCCACTGGCGTCGTGAGTTCCAATTTCTTTTCTTAGAATGTTCCCTTGTCTAGATCAAGGGTCAAGCGTGTGTCCCGTGTTCCCAAGGTAATACTTCATCGGTATGTCCTCGTATGATAGAATGCTTCGGGCGTTCCTTTTGTACGAGCGTTATCAACGATCGGTACCAGGTCAATGGGACCACAACGTCAATCTTCTTCAACCCGGAAGAACACTACCTTGAACACTACATCGAAGACTGCACCGGAAGTCACCTTGCTATTTAAGACTACTACCTCGAAGGTAGCTACATGGGAAAACAACCACTTTAATAGCAACTACTTCCGCTATCTACACTATGACTCGTAGTGGTGGTGGAAAGCAAACTTCATTCCATTGCTTTTGTTGCAAGTGCAGAATGCGCTCTCTGAGGAGCATAAATTGGGTGCTCCGGAGAGCTAATACAGGTTGAAACGTGCCCAGGAGCTAAGCCCCTGAATCACGTGAGTTCGGCATGAAGGGGGCACCTCACTCAGGGGGTAGGGAGGCCCACGTGCCATGCAACAGCTCCCAAGCCATATCTCCCGCCACATATAAGAAGTAGTTAGATCCCTCAATTATTTCTACTATACATAATCAACGGTAATTACATATTCGGTCTACTTGAGACAGGAAGTTGACAAGGAGAAGGGGGAGCTTGAGCTGTCGTTGGATGGCAGCGAGGAGGATATTCCTGTCGAGGTACCTGCTACTAAGCATACGAAAAAGGGAGGGAAGATGGCAGAAAGTGGGGCAATTGAGATGGCGAGCCAAAGTTCCCCAGCCTCTATTAGGGGATTGTCATATCGTTTGAGGGTTGAGATATGTTAGATTGGGTGATTTGGAACGAGCTGTTGGAGTCAAGAGTGTCTTGAGTGTGCAGCTCCACCCTTGCCAAATCCCACCCCAACTCTTTTCTCCCTTTTCGTAACCTTACGTGAAGATTCAAAATATGCTAGGGTCCATTCTTGCAGTATAAGCAAAGCGCATGACTGACCCATCAACAAGGACAACGATGTTTCCCAAGTCGGTGCCGCACCCAAGACTGAGAAGGGCAAAACCACCAAGAGAAATGCCGCGCTGTGAAAAGGTCTTTTGCGAAAAGTGGATTCACGAAGACACTTGCGCTTTAACCCAAATGGGGTGTAAATATAGTCACCCGACTAAGGTTAGTCCAGTTACGCCGATTACTCACCAACCTCACCACCCTTCGCCTCCTCCACACCCTCAATTTCTCCACCGTTATCATCGGGAGAAGATATTCTGCGACAAGTGGATCCATGAAGGCACGTGTGCTTTCACCCAGATGGGTGCAAGTATCGTCAAGAGATGCCCATAGGCCGTGACACTCGATTCTCCCTCGGTCTCAGCCATGGTTTACCGTCGCGAGTACTGCGTCAACATGCAATCCGCACTTACTCCGTCTGTCCTCCTGGCCCGCCAACTAACTGTTTGAAGGAGCTATGGCGTCTCTTGGACGTTGCCCAAACTAAACCTGGCTATGCTGCTCCAGTGTCGCCATCTCTTAGCACATTTAGAGAGGCATCCACTTCTGCGGCGGTGTTCATTCCCAACCTCAAGAAGAGTCGAAAGAGTCAAAATTAGAGTCCGAGGTGATTAAGAAAGCACAAAAATCTCCAAGTATTGAAGGCAGAGACACCAAGAGGGAGTTAATTGATGGTCAGGGTGAGCAACGTCAATTCAAAGCAAAATACGATCATACGATGGTCTCTAAAATTGATATAGAACGAAATGAGAACCCAACATATGTAAATCTTGTAGGAGTGATTATTTTTCTGTACGAGGAACGTCTTTCGGGTGAAGACATATAGCAGATGTAGTATTCTCGTGAAAATCCAAAACCTTTTCTAGAAAGATCCTCCTTCAACATAATGTAGCAGAGGTCAACAAAAATGTCCGTGAACGCTTGCAGAAATGGAAGTAAACACATGTGAATAAGCCCAAAAACTGTAACATAATGACTGTAGTATAGATTAGTGTCTTTTGTAATCTAAAAATCTGAAGGTTAGAGATAAGTCCGATCCGAAAGCTTTTGAATTCTCATTGCCGGCGGCGACGAAAGCAAGGGGGGAACTACTCGTCCAAATCGGTCGTTGAGATATGAAATGTTTCTTTTCGTGTCAAACCCCATAACATAAAGCCCTATAGGATAATGGATGACCTTGCACAGTGGTATAGTAAAATGTCATAGAATTCAAAGTCAACAAAGCAGGATTTGCAAAAGGGGGTAACACATGCCTGAGGCTCACCGAAATTTACCGAAATTTGCATGGAGGAGTGGTCCCGGTCAACGTAATTTGGGAGCTTCACACCTTCCGCGAAATGGCTGGGATGACCTTCAATCTCATCACCCGCGCCTTGAAACTCATATTCAACAATGACTAGAAAACAGCGGTTGAGAGCGACCGATACTTGAGCAGGTATGGTACTCACTCGAACCCTTCTCTGAGGAGTCCCCATTCATTGTCAATGGCACCACTCATACCACCCCGCTGAGTGAGAAAGCTCGGCGCTCATGAGCACACAACAGGCTCTCATGCCGCAGCTTCAGTACTCTCAAGCTATATTGATTGCGCTCTCATAATTCAGCTCTACAGTGATGAGATTGGCAAGTCAATGGCTCATAAAGAGCGCTGTCTGAGCACAAACTCACATATACTGTTGCTCTGCAACGGGCCGTTCATTCAACTTTACCTTCGTGTATCCGTTAACTTTGCGCAGACGATCATAACTAGGTTACTACATTAATTGAAGAATTTCTTTCTGGTCATCGGCAGTGGGCAGCCAGGCTCTTTAGATCAATTGAGCTCAAGCTGAGCCGCGTCTAAAAAATTTCTTTCAACACGATCTTCCACCCTCATCGATCCGACGCACCTACCCTCCAACACAAGGAATATCAAAGAACAGCATCATGGCTTATCAAGACGTTGATCTCACTGCTGAGGCTGGCCAGGCTTCTACTGGAATCTCCTGGCAGTACGTCTCCAATTGCTGGTTGATCACACTCATTAACTCATCCACAGTGACCCTCATCCGATCTTCGTCATCATCCTCGTAGGACCCGAAGAGATTCCCTTTGGTATCCAGAAGGATCTCCTTTGTGCCCAATCTCCTTACTACCGCGACGAGTTCTCGAAGCCGGGTCAACAGAATCAAGTTGAGCTTCTCGTTAAGCTTCCGGACACCGATACTGCTACATTCGGATGCTTCCAGAACTTCATTTTTACTGGTGCGGTCTACGATAAGACAGGTGGAAAGGATATCCCGGATTACCCTCTTCTTATGGGTGTTTGGAAGCTGGCGACCCGTTTGAGAATGGCTCCCTTGCGCGTCGCTGTTCTTGATGTCATGGCTGAACGCCGTCAACTCACCTCTCATATTCCTGGCACGCCACTTCTCATCCAAGCTTGGCAGGAGACCGAGGAAGGTAGTGGGTTGCGTAGAATGCTCATTGGTTGGGCTGCTGAGCACAGTGTGTATACTCACTCCACAATGATGAGCCCTGCTGACCTGGGAAGTGCGCGCCTCTCCTGAGATCCGCAACGCGTTTGCCAAGTCCCTTCCTCAAGAGATTCTGAGTGAACTCGTTATTGTCATGAGTGATCTCCCAGCCACACCTGCCTACACACCCCAAGCTCAGAAGCATCAACTCCAATTCAATCCCGCCGAGATTGACATTGAGCAACCACGTCCCGCAACAAAGCGCAGCCGTAAGTCCGAAGTCGCCACTCCTGCCACTACTGTTCCTTTCGGCGATGAACCAGTTGAGATCAAGCCACCTGTCAAGAAGGCCGCTCGCAAATCTGAACCCAACCGCCGTGCTAGTAACAACCGCCGCGTTTCCGCTCAGGTCGCTGCCGAAGCCGTTCCCCTCAGCCCGGAGAAGGAGATGGAGTTCTGCCGCGATCTCATCCAGCGTATGTTCAAGGGCCCCGGCTTCTGGACTCGCCTCGTCGGACCCTTCAAGAACCCCGTTGATCCTACCGTCGATAACGTCCCCAACTACTTCGATGTCGTCAAGCGTCCCATGGACCTTCGCACCATCCAGGGAAAGATGAACAGAAACGAGTATGCTACGGCGGCAGAGTTCGAAGCTGATATTCGTCAGATATTCCAGAACTGCTACGAGTATTGGACTCAGGATGATCCGATCTTCAAGAACTGTGTTGACTTCGAGAACTACTTCAACACCCAATGGGGCGCGAGACATAAGTGGTCCACGCCGACGATCAAGACTGAGGTCATTGAATAACCTGACAGGCTTGCACTCACGGTCTTCATTTAAGGCGCATGGCTGGTTTCGTCTTCTTTTGTAACATCACAGCTTGGCGTTTGGTTGACATAAGGCGTCTTAATATGAGCTTTGCCTCGGCCTGCATTTGTTTCTTCTTCGGATGGTAACTAGCACATTATGACTTGCATTGCAATGACTGTATGATAGGTCATGAATAATTCGTACTTGAGAGTACATTTCAGAATTTCTGGCTTCGATGTTATTATTCCTATGTGAAAGTATGAAAACAAAAATTTCCATCATTAGCCTCTCGAGCTCTCCTACTTCCAACTTATCTGCTTGAAAGGTTTTCATTATCTACTTGTGATATCCTTTCGTGGTTTCAATTCGCGTCGGGGACGATCAAAACCAGAAGCAAAGTCTCCCACCTGAACCACATCACTCTGCTGCAGTCAGTCCTGCTTGGTATAATCCCCTATGAATTGACCTGAAGGCTAATAGCTGTGTTCACTCTGTGAAATTCAATATCCCACGTATCATTAGTTCCTCCTCCTCCTCTTCTTACCCCTTTCATTGGAGGCTAATAAAAAAACCCAGCGTATCGCCCAAAATCGCCGGGTCCAGCTCTGATCCGTATCATCTCATAATTTCAGGGCGGAGCCCGAAGATGGACTCTCGGGTTCGGTCTCTTCTGCTCCACCTGTGAGAAGGGGTCTGTCAGCACGCTCAATCAAAGTCGGTGGGATAGGTTTTGATGATGCGTGCGCTTTGAGCAGGTCCACAGCTTCTGGCAAAAAAAAAAATTTGCACTTTAACCACGGAGTAACCATCCGAATTTTGGCTTTGACATCTGCACCATCCTAGAGGAAGGAGGTTCAGCTCCACATAGCCGCTGTTACTTTGAATAGCTACAATACGTTCGGCAACAACGGGCTTTGCTCAAATGAAAATACTGTCAGCTTGTGAAACAATCATTGATACAAGGCTATGTCTATTGCCTACCGGATCCTGAGGATGTAGGTCACCGAAGTTTTCCTGAAAAGAAGCAGCGACGAACATCTTAATGTCCGTCGAGATGTGATCTTGGACTTGAGTGGAGGAAGACACCAACGCTGGACTCAATAGCATGTTCTGGACAACCGAAACAAACAACCTTGAACCTTGGTTTGCCGGTATATCCAATTGACGGCACTAATGATTATCGGAGAAACTGTAACATCTCGGGTATGCTCTTCGTTTCACATTTGTCTAATCCGTAGACCGCTCAAAAATTCTCGTCTTAAAATGAACATCCGCTGAGTATCCGAAAACGCCTCTTGCACTTCATTTCAGTCCAAAATCTTTCACTCTCTAAAGTGCCTGTTCTTCTTGTCCTGAGTCTATGAAATCGTGGTTCAATATGCGGCATCAAGTTCAGCACTCATTCAGTTGTTGTGAAACAACAACATGTTCAAGTTCAGAGAATGTGTTCTCTCATGTGTCCCCATGCCAGCGAGAAGAAGTTGATGTAAACCAGAGAACTTGATTTACGGCTGTTTGGAAGCCTCCATGGGTTTGGAATTGTCATGGCCGTATTTCATGAGGGTTGATAATCCTGCATTTGGCTTTCCACCATTCGGAAGATGTCTTCATTGCCTCCCGAATGACCTTGCCAAATTCAGGATGGCAGGCAAAGAGCACCGGGGTCCCAGGAATTTCTGTCGACAATTATCAGTCCTTCTAAAAGCGTATAATATTCCCAATTCGCATCAAGTCTGTCAGCGAGAATTTTCAAAGTGGCACATTCCACTTTAATGTCAAACTTAACCGGTCTTTCATGTGTGTATAGATGAAAAGGGGCAGCTGTGCAGATACATCAGTACCATTGGCTCATATGCCATCATTTATGCGATGATATGTTTCGGGTTGCCCAGAAGCTACCGTTCAGTGCTCCAGACATTGCCGCCAAGCTCACGGGCCTCTTTGGGAGAATCATCTCCAAGTTTCCACCCAAAAAAGTAGAACCATGCCTTGAAGATGCTTTCACTTGCATTCAATTTTGCAGGTTAGGAAGCGGGAGATAGGAGCAGCGTTGGTAGTGAGTCCTAAAATCGACTGGTATTTAGGAACCACATTGGCCAGTACGTATGAGCACATCGTGGGCGGAGAAACCCCACAGAACCAGGTTCGCAAATCATTTCAAGACCCAATTTATTCAAACACTTGACTTCAAGCTACAGATATTGCTATCTCTTCAGCAACGACGAACGTTCGGCCTCCAAGCTGGTTCCGATCCTAACTTGAACAGCCAGCAAAATGACAAAAGCAAGTATCTCCAACGCTCTTTGGTATTTGACATATCTAACAAGAGGTAGATATGACATTGTCGGTCTATTATCATGAGAATTATGACATTGGGTAAGGGAATCGGAATGCAGTGGTGATCTCCCTTGCCCGTTTTGGAATCTGATTGTCGCGACAGTGCACGCATATGTGCACTACTCAATACCCACGGCACTCGTTTACGGAATCGTCATTTCTTGTGCATGTTACTTGCTCTGATATATATTGAAGAGTTCGAAGGGGTGTTGGGGATGTCAGGCTAGGGAGACAAATCACGGAGAAAGGGGTATTGAAGATGAAACCTATATACAACGAGAGCTATCCGGCACATTTATATGTAATACTGGTAGGACTTACTACGCTGAGGGGCTGAACTTGAATAACCTTTCAAATACGACTGAGATTGGTTGACAGAGCATACTTGAACGAGTAGTGACACTCGTTTACTCCGGTGTTGATCACATATTATCAGGTCCAATTATATCAGCTAATTAAAGAGAAGCAAAAGGGGAAAGTGACCCATGAGAACTCTTCATGGAAATTGGTTGCTCAAGGGAGTTGGGCGTAGTGTAGAAACTTCTCCCAAGTCATGTACGTTGTGGAGGGGGGCATCGAGACCATACGGACGCCCTTGTACCAAATTGCTTTGGGAGATCTGCGATTTCTAAAACATGGAATATTTTCTACTTGCCACATATCATCTCCAAGAAACCCCAAAGAACTTCGTCTTATTTTTCGCTGGGCTGTCCGGGGTGGCATCCGCGTTTTCCAGATATATCCTTTGATGGCCCCTGACATCCAGTGCCAGATACTTGTAGACAAACTCGCTGTCGGATGGTTTCTTCATCATATGCATATTTACCACTCCCTTACCTAAAGGCCCTTCCACCTGCAGATAGTCAGTTTTTGGCCGAAGCTTGCAGCTAGAGAGCGCTTACGTTGAAGTGCATGATCAGATGCTCAGTGCCGTACTGATCCTTCCGAATGGTCGACCTGAAAGATGATTAGGCAATTATCCAGTTTAGAGTTGGATTTCTCTTACGCGATTGGTCTTGCTCTTCTCCATTTGTTCCAAGTTGGTTCTCCATATGCAGTGATCTTCTTGCTGTTCCCCAGCAGCTCCGTACAACGTGAATCCTTCCTCACTTGATCGAACGCTCTGTTGAAATGGCTCGTTTTACTGTCGAGGGAAAATACTTCGGTGTACATAAAATATGCAACCCCTCCCTGCACAGTATCAGCCATGACCAAGCCATTGTTTTCTCTAGCACTCACTGTCAGGATTGCACCGAGTACGATGAAGCTGAAATTGAAGGTTTGCTGTGTAGCTCTCGCGGCTTTCTCCTTTCCCGTCAAATCTCCCCATGGAACTCTGCCATCGTCATTGAACGGTGTGACGGCCTTCCTTCTTCGTCGTAAAGAAGCATTCGATGTTCCCAAGCCAGTTTCAGTAGCATACAATCGTGCTGCCAGGATGGGGCGAAGACTGGGCGGACATTTCAGAATAGACAGAGGCCGTACGAGGGAATTCATGTTAACAATAGATATTGCTCTTCGGCTTTCTATTGTGTTGAAGACGAAGCTGTTGATGTTTTCAAGAGAAGCTTCACGCTTGATGTGGGGAAGTGAACTAGTCCGCTTTAGTAAAGCGGCATGAAACTAAATCCCAATCCCAATCTGGCCCGCTTCCCTCGACATAAAGTCCGTCTGAACGTCGCAAAAAGGAGAAACTTTATTCTTGCACCTCACTCCACGTCTTGCAACGAAGACAATCTAACTCTTCAGTCACACGAAGAACCGCAAAGATGGCTGCGCTGGCCTCGAAATCCCAGTCACAGAAAATATTCGAGAAGCTGAGGACGAAGCCAGCGAACCGGGTCAGCATGCCACATGTCAGTTTTGCCCTGAGAGTGAAGTCACTAACGGTTGTTTGCACTCTAGATATGCTTCGATTGCGGGCAGAAGAACCCCACCTGGACATCAGTGCCTTTTGGAATCTATCTTTGCCTGGACTGTTCTTCAAATCACCGAAACTTGGGTGTACATATCTCGTTTGTGCGATCCACGAATCTTGACCGTATGTTGCCCTACAATACTGTTCGAAGAATATGTATCTGATCTTGATGGTAGAGTGGCAATGGGATCAGTTGCGGATTATGAAAGTGGGTGGCAACGAGTCTGCCACGAAGTTCTTCCAGTCAAATGGCGGAACCGCAGCTTTGAACAGCAAAGACCCAACGACAAAATATACGTCGAATGCAGCCACAAAGTACAAAGAGGAGCTGAAGCGAAGATCTACGAAAGATGCCATCGAGTAAGGCATTAGGACATCATTGGGAGGCATGCTAATTGAAGAACAGATATCCCGATGAAGTAGTAATTACAGACGTCATGAGCAATGGGCCAACGGATGGCACATCTACACCGGCTGGCGAACCCGACGATGATTTCTTCTCCTCATGGGATAAACCATCCATCAAGCGACCTACACCCCCTGTTTCTCGAACTGCCACACCGCCTGTTGTTGGACGAACACCTTCCCCTTTTCTCAATGCTGGTAATGCAAACGGCAACGGAAATGGCATTGCGCGAACATCTTCCCCTCTTGTGAATGTCGAAGGGGCAGCGCCTGCAGCAAGCCGGATCACATCATCAGCCGCACTGCGCAAAGGCACCGCAGCTGGAACAGGGCCTCGGAAAGCCAATGTACTGGGAGCCAAGAAGACAAAGTTGGGTGCAAAGAAGGTTACAGGCGACGTGATCGATTTTGATGCTGCAGAGAAAAAGGCCAAGGAAGAGGCTGAGAGAATTGAGAAATTGGGCTATGATCCAGAAGCCGAAGAAGCCGCTACGAAGAAGAGCACCACTGCTACAAAATCGGCGGATCTGCCGAAGATTGCATCACCAACTCCAGTCAGTCCGGGAAGAGCAGGTTACGGCACAGCTCAAAGGAGAGAGCGTACAAACAGTGAGCTCGAGCGATTGGGCATGGGAATGGGGCGTTTGGGTTTTGGTCAAGTCGGAGGCAACAAGCCGGCTGCTGCTCAAAAGAAAATGGGTGGATTTGGATCCGTTGGGCCCATCAAGGCCACTCAAGAAGGTAAGCTTGGGCGTCTTAAGAAATTGAGTTATGTTAATATAACCTCAGATGACGACGAAAAATACGCTCGTCAAAAATTCGGCGCTCAAAAGGGCATCTCGTCAGACGAATTTTTCGGAAAGGGGGCTTTCGATCCAAACGCGCAATCCGAAGCGAAGCAACGACTACAAGGATTCGAAGGCGCAACCTCCATCTCCTCAAACGCATACTTTGGTCGTCCTGAAGAAGAAGATGGTGGTGAGGAATATGGAGACTTGGAAAGCGCTGCAAAGGACTTCGTGCGCAAGTTTGGCAACACCGCTGGCGATGACTTGGAGAACTTGACGCAAGTCCTCGGAGAGGGAGCGACCAAATTGCAGGGTGCAATCAGAAGTTACCTGAACGGTTAGTTGCTAAACCTGGTGAGGGAGGCGAATACGAATGTAACAAGGAGAGCTCGGCGTATGGAGAAAGATTGCTATTCCAGATTGTATGGAAGGTGCATGCAAGTGGAGAATGCCGCATAAGTGTTGCAGCATTGACGGCACGAAGGCGGGTGATATTTGTGTTTTTTGCCGTCTAACTTGCGGCATAGATTGCGGTGCTTCTGGTCAATAACCATTAATCTACTAAAGTGTTCGTCATGTGTTGTACCAAACGTGGTTCGTACAGTGGACTGACCCCCTCTTTATTGTCTTGCCATCTCCTAATTTCTCGAGTGAGATTAAGAACCTGAACCTATTCTTCATTCAAACCGAAAAAGGGCTTACCAGTCTTGACAGTTTGTTGAACCATCCTTTTTCCCCGAGCTTTTTGAGCAGTGCGCGAAGCATGGGCATCCTCGTGTCATTCTATATAAGGATATACGCTGTGGGCAACACTCTTTCCATGCCGCAGCAAAGTTCTACACAATCCGATCAACACATCTCTGGGAGTGAGATGTTCTGATACAATACTGTGATACGGCGTCAGAGCGCCACATGTACCTCGTGGTAAGCTTCACACCGGCAACGCATTGCTGTGGTTGGAGAATCCAACGCTTGTAATACCCCTTTGGCTTGACAGCAACTCCTTGTCTGACAATGAAAAGGGGTGAGATGGGATGACAGGGGTCCAGAGTCTGCTGACCTTCGGATGAGGTTTCGCCTCAGAATCGGGGACGTTGATGATAACAAATAATTAGTGGCAGCAGTCTTTGAAGTCTCCAAGCTCTTGACAACCTCCCTTGATGGTTGACTGGTCGTGTTTGCTAATAGCGGGCGTCGCAGTACTAAGCACGCCGTGGACTTAGTGGCTCTGGATGCCGTGTCTCGAGTTGAGACCTTTCGACGAGGGTTATCATTTGTGCTTCGCAAAAGCATGCAATGAAAATGACAGAGCCGTTGATGAGATAATATGCACAACTTTCCACGTGGACCACAGGCCGGGGAAAGGGGAGGCGGGAAAGAAACCGTTGCGCTTTGGAGGAGGTATCGCCACAGCTCATGGTTAGATGCCAGACAGCGTGGCAAACCAGTCTGGTACGAATGCTGCAGAAGAATAGAATACGGAAAGGGCAAGTCTCAACAAAGGGCCAATAACTGATGAGAAGTGTCGTTCTGAGTGTGAGCGGACGGTTAAACTTCGGCTCTCTTCTCGTATATTTGTGGGGACCGGAATGCCTTCCAAGCCAACGAGATGCGTGGTACATTTCACGACGTGGCCAAAGATGGGATAATGGACTGTGAAGTGGGGGTCGGTCATCCATGCACTCTCCGATCGACAATAGGTAACTGAACCCCTCAACCCGTTCCTCCCTCTTCAAATCTTTCGTTTGCTGACGACTAAGAACAGCAGAGTTGTCAAGATAACGTCTAGCTGTTGTAATTCAATACATATAATTCATCTTGCACTGTTTTAACAGGACTTCCTGTTGACCCTCTTGTTTGATTATAAATATGGCTCCATCAGCTCTTCTTCCCGAGGAAACAAGCGTGCTTGAGGCACCTTTGCCAACCAAGTTTTTGTAAGCTCCCAGTTTATGGGAAGATATTGTTTTGCTGACAGCTGAGATTAGGACCCAAGAAAAATGCACCGGCTGGGAATATGATCTGCGAGAAAAAGGATTCGCCGTTGTCAAGAACGCCATACCTCAGTACCGAGCCGCCAAGTATCAAGAGAAAGCCTATGAGTGGCTGAAGTCCTTCGGTACAGAGCTAGACTTCAACAGACCCGAGACCTGGATCAAAGAGAACCTACCAGTTCAAAGCAAGATCAACACATTCAACGGTTACTGCATGCTCCACGAGAAGTTCATGTGGGATGCCAGACAAGAGCCCGGGGTCCTAGACACATTCGCCAAAATCTGGGGTACGGAAGAACTACTCGCCAGTTTTGACAGCTTGAACATCACATTCCCCAACCGAAAGGATGTCGAGAAATTGGGAGCATGGGAACACGTCGATCAAAGTCCTTTCCGGAGAGGTTTGCACTGCATCCAAGGGATCATCGCCCTGAGCCCTTCTGGCCCAGAAGACGGAGGCTTGCTCGTCTATCCCGGATCTCACAAACTGATGGACGAGTTCCTCGACACACAAACAGACAAGAGCACTTGGGAACGCATCGACCGGTTTGTCTTCGACCAATCTCAACTTTCGTGGTTCACAGCACGCGGTATCCAACCTGAGAAGGTCTGCGCGGAGGTCGGTGATCTGATTCTGTGGGACAGCCGCACGATCCATTACGGCAGTGTGCCGGGTGAGAAAAGTACTCAGATTCGAACTGCGATCTATGCTGCGTACACGCCTGCGAGACTTGCGAGTGAAGAGACACTGAAGAAGAAGACGGAGATCTTTGGGCAGTGGGGTGGCACGACGCATTGGCCGCATGACAATATTCGGATCAGGGAGGTGAAAACGTTCTTGGAGGATGGAACCAGGGATCCAAGGGATAGGGATGAACCGCTTGAGAAGCCAGAGATGACGGATAAGTTGTTGAAGTTGGCTGGTGTGAAGAGGTATTGAATGAGTCGTGAAAGGTCAGCACGAAGTATTGGGGACGGGAGAGGCATCTTCAGCGTGATATAGTGGGGTAGATAGCCGGTCATTACACCCAATTCGAAAATATATCTTCTTCAATCTCTCTCTGTCTTGAAGCTCAATGCCATCTGCAACTTCAGGGGATTTGGGAAGCACGGTGGTGATTCGAGACGCAGAACTCCAAAAGTGGGATGTGCCAAGTATGAACTGCTTTCGTTATTCAGCCGGATACGGAACCGTTCTCAAGATGCAGCTTTCCAAGCTTGGAAGCCTATCCGTTGCCTTTCGATAGTGAGATCTATCCTAGCAGTCCACCTAGAACAGAAGGTGGTCAACCTGTCAATGGGCCTGTCAATAGGTGCGCTGATCCAGCAGAGAAAGGACTTCAGAATCCCAAAATCTCGATCTTAAATATTCCAACATAAGCTTTGGGGCTGGTGGGGTATTTCTGATGATTTCACACTTCCTGAGATTCGAATTTTGCTCAGATGCGTTGAGGAGAGATGACATTGACAAGACTAACCACAGGCCTCCACCATGCTAGCTTTTGAGCGTCAATTCAGGCTATGCAAGCGCCCTCACAAGGCGCCAAACAATTCGTGGTCATGCCACCGTTCAGAAAATCCGTAAGGCCATCTTCAAAACAAAGTTTCAGGGTCTTTCGTCGACCGCCAGTCCAGTGGCTGTCGCTTCGCTGGACCCCTGAATCGGGCGCTTCTCTGACGCTTCGTTTCTCGCTTGGCGAAGCCTGCTTTTTTGACCGGCGGCCCAATGCCAACAACACCTCGAACATGACGTATCCAGACCCTTGAAGAGAGACTCCAAGATCTTCACATCCAGCAAATCTATCCAGATTGGACGAACTGTCCGTGGCTGAGTCAATCCTACCCAGTGGTTGGGCCGGCGATGGTGAGAACGTGGCAGGGTAAGTGAAGGACAATCAGGGCAGGTATCCTGGAATGTGGTTCACTGCCTGTCGGTTTTTTCTGTCGCGCGTTTGTATGATGTCGTTGCAAGACACCATGGTCTGTCTCTTATTGCTATTCATATTCACTGGCTCGCTGTGACTGCGAAGCAGATTAAAGCTCATCTCCTCCCAACCACTCTTGCTCATGGACATACCCAACACATAGCACCACTCCTCATCAAGCAGTACTCTAATCACCAGTCGCCATGCGTCTAACAGCCCTCTTCCCCCTGGCCTGTGCCGTTGTGGCCTTCGTGCTCTCCATGCTTTGTCTATTTGCGGGCCACAAGCCTGGCTTCATGGAGGATTATGCCATTGTGACTGTATGATATCATCTCCTCAAAGCTCAAGCAAGACTGACATTTCTACTCCAGCTCAACACCTCTACTCTTGGACATAACCTCATTCCAACAGCAACGACCTCATCTGGACCTTCACCGACTGCGACTTCGATCGGTTCATTCTTCAGCAGTATCGCGCACAACATCTCAAGCACAATTGAAGGCGACCTGAACAGTATAATTGGCGATGTTGCAGATAAGTTGGCAAAAGAAATCGGCATCAAGCAATGGTACAGCCTTCACTTGATGGATCTCTGCGAAGGGACATACGCTCCAAATGCCACGCAGAAGGGTGCGCATGAGAACGTGACCACTTGCTCAAACCAAACGGCAATGTGTAAGAAATCCTTACCTTATTTCCCCAAGACCTTAAACTAACAGCTTCTTGAACAGACCATTTCGACATCTCCAAGCAACTAAACCAAGAACTCGAAATCGGCCCTCTACACATAAACTTGTCCGATATCAATTGGCCATCCGAGATCCAAGACGGCCTCAACGCCTTGAACACCGCACTCGATGCTACTTTCGTCCTCTACGCCATCGGCATCGCGGCAGCAGGATGTGCCATCCTCGCATCGCTCGTAGCCTGCTTCCTGCACGGATCCCACCTGATCTCATTCGGCAACTGGGGCCTCGCAACGATAAGCTTCCTCGCGCTGCTCATTGCATCAATCATCGTCACCGTCGTCCAGTCGAAAGCCACAAAGCTGATTAACAAGTACGGGAATGAGATTGGTGCGTATGCGTATAAGGGAAACAAATACTTGGTTTTGACGTGGGTCGCGGTTGCGGTTATGTTCTTGGCGATGTTGGCGTGGGTTGCGGAGTTTTGTGTGGGGAAGAGGAATAAAGGGCGTGAGTATACTGAGAAGTCGTCCGGACGGGGATGGGGACGAAGCCGGAGGAGTGATGAGGCTGCGCTGAGGAGGAGTGGTGTTTAGGTCAGGAGCGTGGGGAAGACTGGATTAAGTCTGGAGAATAAAATCGGTGAAGGCTATAAGACGACAGACAGATGACATGATGATGGATATGCATACCTTCCTTGAATATCGGCGATAGGTGGGACTTTTGAGTTCTCGGGCGAAATCGGCAGACATTCTCTTGGGCATCAGAGCATTGCAGTTAGATCTCGATACCCTACATAATTTCAAATTTGTACAATACCTTCAAGCATGGAATTTCGTTTAAAAAAATTGGGTTCTCTTTGTGTCTTTGACATTGGGCTTCTCCTCGCTTTGGTTCCGTCGATATAGTTTTATAATCTTCTGTAAAGGGTGGACTGAACTGGAGATTCTCTGACAATTTACGCAAAGATACGGGTGAGACACAGCATTGATTTCTCCCAAGGTTATCCCACAAGAGATGAAGAAAATCAGAGGCAATGTGTATGCGAGTCATTTGAGTACCCCAAACTCCTCAATTGTTCACTCTCATTCGTCAGCTTCGTAGCTCATCAACGATTCAATCAAGCTTAACCTTATCTGATCCGCATCCCTGCACAGCTGAGTTTCGGCAGCACTCGCCATTCAAGCTTCACAACGACCATGGCCCAGACTTTTGCTGCCTTCCCCACATGCAGTTGTCGATACCCATTGCCATCGGGCGCCCCGAGTAGTATCAATTGACGCATTTGACGCATTTGACGCACTCTGTATGTGCATGGTAAAGAAAAGAAAAGAAAAAAGTGGCGTGGTTAGCGGGTGCAGATCGTGAGATCAGGAAAGCACCATGAGCAAACGGAAACTGAGACCTGAAGCTTGGCTAGCTTGGTAGCGCCTTGGTAGGAGACACTTCACCTCTTTTCTCTGCAGAATCGCCTTCTTCTTCTTCTCTCTCTCTTATTCACATTTGGTGGAAGTATTGATTGCAGCAGAAATACTGAAGACACTCTCACGACGCAACGCGTTTGGGAAGGATAGCAACTATGGCGTACAATCAACCTCAACATGGAGGCGCCGCAGACGCGTATTATCAGGAAGGCCACCAGGATATTGGCGCACAGCAGCAGGGACAATACCAGCAGCAGCCGTACGGTTATGCTGTAGCGCAAGGGGGGAGTTTTCATTCTCCACTTCCTCAGCAACCTCAATACCAGCAGCAAGCTCCCCCACCACAGCAGTACCAACAGCAAGCCCCTCCACCGCAGCAATACCCTCAACGACCTCCCCATTATGGCAAACAACCAGACACCGGCAATGGCGAGAAGATGGGCTTCGATCAGACGTTCACAATCGATCGGCCAAAATACAATGACGTATGGGCTTCGGTGCTTTTTATCTTGACATTTTGTGGATTCACTGCGGTCTCGGTTTTGTCAATTCGTGGCTATGCAACTACAAATCAGGGGAGTGGGATCTATAACGGTGGCTCTGCAAACAGCGTTGCGTTGAATAGCAATACTATCATTCTCTTGTTAGTTTTCGCGAGACGGGCTGGTGATGGAGGCTGACTTTATACAGTGCTTTCATCCTAGCGGTAGCATTTTGCTTCTCGTTCGCATACTTCTGGATTATTCGCGCGTTTACGAAGCAGTAGGTTTCCAAAGCCCCAATCAAGTGGTGGAAGACTGACAGGCCATTGCAGAGCCATCTGGATCACTGGTATCCTTCAAATCGTCCTTGGCATTGGCACAGCGGTCGTATACTTCGCCAGACATTACTACAGCGCAGCCATTGTCTTCCTCATCTTCTCGGTTTTCTACATAATCTGCTTTATCAGCTGGATCCCACGAATACCCTTTTCGGTCCTGATGCTCCAGACCGTGATTGATGTCGCCAAGAACTATGGACATGTCTTCATTGTCTCGTTGGTGGGTGGGCTCGTGGCGACTGCGTATGCAGCATGGTTTTCCGTGACATTAGTTGCGGTATATGCGAAATACTACCCAGGGCAACCCGGCTGTGATGCCAGTGGCGGTAGCTGCAGCAAGGGCAAGGTCATTGGACTTCTGGTCTTCATCACCTTCGCCTCATACTGGATCTCAGAAGTCATCAAGAACGTGATGCATTGCACTATCTCAGGTGTCTATGGCTCGTGGTACTTCTGCGCCAACAAGCCAAGCGGATTCCCGAAAGGAGCAACTCGAGGAGCTTTCAAGCGTTCAATGACCTACAGTTTTGGCAGTATCAGCTTTGGAAGCTTGATCGTTGCCATTATCCAATTCCTCCGCCAGGCATGCTCGATTGCCCAACAAAATGAGGCAGCGCAAGGAAACCTCATGGGCCAAATCTTCTTTTGCATCTTGGGATGCTTCATCGGTCTTCTTGATTGGGCTGTTCAATTCATCAACGAATATGCTTTCTCCTACATTGCCCTGTACGGGAAGGCATATATACCAGCCGCTAAGGTACGTCACTTCCCCTTTACATATATCATATGCTGACTGAGCCAGACAACCTGGACAATGATGAGGGACCGTGGCATTGATGCTCTCGTCAACGAATGTCTCATCAATCCCGTCCTCACCATGGGCGCCGTCTTCGTTGCCTACGTTTGCTCTTTCCTCGCCTATCTCTACGTCTCCTTCACCAAGCCCGCCTACAACGACGGCGACGCCTTCACCGCCGTAATTATGGCCTTCGCCTTCCTTGTCGGCCTCCAGATCGCCAATATCTTCTTGGTGCCGATCAAGAGTGGTGTGGCTACGTTCTTTGTCGCCATGGCGTTCGATCCGCAGGTTTTGATTCAAGAGTTTCCGGATTTGTGGCAGAGGTTGGTGCAGGTCTACCCGCATGTGCAGATTGCGGTTCATGCTTAGGGGCTGAAAGGGGGAGTTGAAGTGTTGGGTGGGCTTTGATGAATGGAGGCGGGATTTTATACACGAGAGATACCCTAGATGGCGTTTAGGATGTTGAACGGTCTACCAGGATCATGGCATTGTATTAGGTTACGAGTAACACGAATATCGTGTTTATTGGTAAAGTAGACAGGTTACGCAATAGAGGCTTAGTATTGACAATCCCTTTAGACTTTTTATATTGAGAGAGCGAGGAGGTAAGCAACTGCTTCTTTACTTTACTCATTCAAGACTGATTTTTGCAGACAGCGACGTTGCACCGGGTACTTCAATGATCGAATGCTTTCGAACAATCCAGTAATCGCACTTCGATCCCCGCTCTAAAATCCTCGCGAGTGCAGGACATCAAAACATTTCACTAGCTTGGACCGGAAAGTTCCCACTGGGCCTGCGAGCTTAAACATTGAACGTCTCTCACTTATGGAAGATTCGGGGTGGTCATGCTTGGTGGTACCAAGTCATTTTCAAACACTCTCCGAGCTTTCGCCTCCTTTGATTACAATTCGGACAGAGCAAGAAAGGCTGTAGCAAATGAAAAGCAACTGGCACCTGAACTGTCCAATATCGATGCTTTTGCTTTATTTACGGACATATTGTTGAATCATTTGAGTCAGAATTCGGAAACCCAAGGCGCGCCACCAATTGAAACCCCCGTTTCCTGCCGAAAGATCTCGAATGAAATCAGAAACATCATCCAAAGCTTGGCCGATTCGACTGAGGATTTATATGTGAAGCCGCTGCGTCAAAGAGATGGCTCAAATTTGCAACTTGCACAAAGTCGTCAAATTGGGGTTATCTCGTCAGCATTGGCCCATACCAGGAATTTAAGAGATAAGTTATATCAATTTACCTTAGGGCTGGGTTTTTCCAAACGCTAATTTGGCTTTTAGAGCGTGGTTTTGTTCCCAGAACTACATCAAAACGTTGGCTACCTGTGTGCTGTTCGGCACTAGCAGAATCCTTGAACTTTCTTCGAACCTCAATGGCCAAGGATTCTGGATTATTGAACCCAAAATATTTGAATCCTCACAGCTTATTGGCTCTGTCATTCGATGGTCCGGATCCCCTAAATGACGATGCTCGATTCGGAGCTGCTGGACGTCCAACCACGGGATTCGAAAATTGGATTCGAAATCGGTTGTCAAGTGTTGAGGACGCTCCAATATTCATTAGACTCAAAAGAGAGTTGTTGGCACCACAACAACTTAAGTTTCCATCAAGTGGAAGCGATTCTTCATGCCATGTGGTCCCTGGTTACGTACAAAAGCATGATGTGAAATCACAAGTTTCCCGCACCGCCATCACGTGAAATAAAACCCTCCGCTGTTTTGCGCTGGTGCCTGAGGAATTCGGGGTCGATCTGAGCTCGCTTAGCCCTTCCAAGCTCGACCTCGTCGCCACCCTTAGGAAAGCAGCGAGGTGGATAGAAGTACCGTAAGTCAAAGGCACCGTGATATCCTCGCAGAGCAGAAGACATCTGACCCGAATATACAGGTTATGACTGTTCTGCCGCAGGACTACTGGTCACTTGGATAATAATATTATCTCTCCTCAAGTCTCATCCTCCTTCTCTGATTCCCCAACGCATCTCCTCTAGAAGATCCGGCAGACAGTGGTCCCTATGGCCGATTCCAACGAGCTTCCATTTCCCCAAAAAAAAGCTTGGAGGACATAAAAGAAATCGATAAAGTTTTGGAGAAATTGGGGAAGATGCTTCAAAAGGCTAACCCACCAAGGATGGGACCGAATTATGTGTAGATCCTGAACTGCCTGCTGCAGCGAAAGAACTCCTTGATAGGCTGTGTCTCAAGGTACCTAGCCTCAATAAGTTGGTTTTGTAATAAAGCTAACTAGAGACAAGGGAAGCAAGAGATATAACATACTAAGAATCCATGGTCCGAACACCAAGAGTATTGGCACCTGGGACATAGTTCCCATACAAGTCTGGGGGTTCGATCCAATATTAGATGGGGTAGAATTAAAGCCAAAAACAATGTTGCATCTCACGAAAAGGGTTGAGATTAAGGTAGTAGGAAGGTCAATTTTGGATCTCCTTCTTGCTGACAACTAGGAATGTGAAAGGAATGAGTCGAAATACTCTAAGAAATCCGGGATGGCTTTCTCGTCAGAAGAAAGACCTGGATTAGCGTTTTCAAGTCTAGCTCAAATAGTTTTAGCCTTCAGATTTCTTGCATAATAGTCATGATTTACATACCTTTCTTGGGTCGATCCTCTCGTCCTAATACGGCCGTTATCTCTTTCCGGAAAGGTTTGGGCCGAAATACCTCTAAGAAGAGGTGTGAATCGACAAATTCTTGGTACGAAACCGAATATCCAAGGGCAGAGCAGATGGTTTCGGGACTGCGTTGGCTCAAAGTGACTCCCAAGCCGGGGGTGGCACAATCTCCGACAAGGCGTGGGACAATGAAGCGCCCGCGATGGAATGCCCGAACATAACTAGGTGAAGGAGAGACAACACGGCTGTTTACAACCCTTTTCAGAAAGCAATATCAAATTTAAATTTAACATACAGTACGCCTGCATCAACAGTTGAGTGAGACCTAAACCACGAACGCCAAAACCTAACGCCATTGAACAATGTTAAGCAGGAACAAGTACAACAACTATTCCCGGCAAATCAAACAGAACTACCAATACAAAACAAGAACGATAACAAGCGAAAAGAAAATGAGAAGACTTGACTTGAAGAGCTAGAGTTCAAACCAGCCAGAAACTCAAAGCACTTGCAAAATTTTCCTCCCAAAACACCAAACATAAGGCTGAAATTTTACACATAAAACATACACTTATCAAGAGCCGCGCTCCAAGGATTCTTCCTTGTGTCATTGGTCTGTCTAGGTGCCTTCCAGACCCGGGAATCTTCCTCATGCGCCTTGATATAACTCAGATCCTCGGATGTGTCCGCGGGAGCTGATACAGAGAGTCTCGGCGATGACTTCTTCTGTGGCGACGTCGTCTTTTTGGAATGGCCGACGGGCTTTCCTTCATCCTTGTCGTTGTTGAGGAGTCCGTCAAGAGCAGGCTTCATGTAGCATCTGAGACGATCACAAAGGAGATCTGCATAACGTGCTGGAATGCAGACCGAGACTGCCTTGGTGGCTCGGGCACTTGTGTAACAGAGGTTATTCGTCTACGTTGACATTAGCATGAGAGTGGGAATTTCAGATACATGGAATACAGAGTGATTTACGATTTGCTGGAGTTCTAGGAGGGCGTAGTTATTGTCATCATAGAGAACAACATAGTGGCCACTACGAGCTGTGCCAAGGCCGCTGTGGTGGCTTTGAAGGTAGAAGTCCCGATAGAATGGATCAACTACTGTGGTATCAATGATCTTGCTGGAGGTGAGGCTTAAGTCAATTTTCTTATCTCCTGCTTCATTTTTCTGGAGTTCCTTGTGCGGGAAGAAGCGAGCGTGATGCCGTTTCGTTACAACTAGGAGCGTCAATTTCGGCATCCACCTTTCACCCTTTCTGAATTTGTTATTCTTGAAGTCTTTCTTGACTTCCTCAAAAGCTTGTTGGCATCCGTCGAGAATCTGGTCTTTTTCTTCGTCCAAGACCATTCCATATTGGCTTTCGCTGACGCCGTCACGGTAGAATAACAAGTGACTAGGAACTCTCCCTTTCCAGGGTGCGGTCTTCATGGTGCGATCCTCTTTAGTTTTGTTATACCAAGCGATGACGCGTTCCTTCATCATTCCCTCCAGGTCAACAATGTGCTGGTACAAGGTCAGTCTGAAGTCATCAAAGATCAGTACATTTGTCTAGGATCCTTACCTCTTCCTTTCCTTTTTGGAGCCGTGCTGAACCCAAGTAGCAACTCGAGTCATCTTGATCGGTTGCAACGACACCTGCCATAGATGGACAGCTATGTTGATGTCCTTCTTTCGGATGTGTCACATCCGCGCCAATGATCATGGTATTTTTTCGAGCACCGGAAGATTTTCCTCGTTCTCCTCCACTTGTTGCAAGTACACTACCTGTAATTTTGTGGCTCACGCCTTTCAATTTCGAATTGATTTTCAAACTAAAAGCCTGACAGTTAGTCTTAATCAGGGTATTCTGAATGAAAACACATACCAGATATTGGCACGAAGCGTCGCATCGCCAACTTTCTTCAGCTTGTCATTGGTGATGCAAACCGTTGGGATTCCAACCTCGCAGTCACCCCAGCGTTTGATTTCGGAATACAGCGGAATGTCTCTTTTGGGGAGCACTACCAACATGAAACGAATTTGAGATGGATCTTGGTTCAACGAGGTGAAAGTCTCATCAAATATTTTCCGACACTCCTCCCGATATCCTTGGTTGAAGACATTGACCTCTTGTGAGGAAGGTTTGGGTGAGTCTGGTGGGCTCGGGGGAACCCCTGGTTGTGATACTATAATTTTAATGCCGTTGCCTACTAGCGAATACCGAACCATTTCGTTTCGTATGATGTTGATGGAGCCTTCAAGGACTGCCTTTCCAGTCAGATTTATGACGTTCAAACTCGTACAGGCCACGCCCCGCTTGAGAAATGACGATTGCTCAGCAAGATTCCAAGCTCCGTTATTGATCCTTGCGGTCTTTTGTTGCTTGGTATCATTGTTGAAAAGCAATTTAGGAGGACCAAGAGCAGGGTGGGTAATAAGCCAGCCGGCTTATCAGCTAGCTTATCAGCTAGCTTATTAAGCCATTCAGCCGGACCATTTTTATTATATCAGTCAGTCAGCTGAAAATATACTAGCTTATAAGCGGCTGATCAGCTGAGGCTTACTAATATCGCGATTTTTGGGTCCCCTTAAAAATGCCAAAATGGGTATTTTTGGGGGGGTATAGCGGGTTAATTATGTAATAATCGCCTTAATAATTAGGTGCGATGGACTGAAAATCTCTTTATTATTTTGTACGCCTCGCACTTGATTCCTTAATTATCGTCAAAATGGACTCCGCACC